ACTTTGTCATAGATTATTTATTCCAAAACAATGGCAATGATTACTGTATGGAAATAAAAATAAATACTATAACTGTTGCTGTACACACTATTATTTTGTTTTTTAAAATCAATGAAATATCCGTAACTATGTTTACTTAATGGCAAGTGTGAATGAAAATGGCAATGGACTATGGAACTGAGAACTGATTAAAAGTACTGGTTTTGTATATATTGTGTTGTTCATTGTAGTTTTTTTGTAGAGTAGAATCAGAGATGCAATGAAACATATACTGTACTGTATTTACCATTACATTTTTTAGTACTTGATGTTTTAATAATCATATTAATTTTGTCTACTGTCTATAATGCTCAATTTCGTTTGTAAATTAAATAATATTTACTAAACTAAATATATAAAAAATAAAGTTTTCTGTATTATTTCATTCAAAATTAAATCCTTATTGGTATTACTACTTACCTAGATAACATGTTGCTCTAAATAGAGCAAAACTCCAACTTGTAATAAAAGAATAAAGTAGGAAAACAAAAGTTATCAATACATCTTAACGATGTATTGATAACTTTTGTCACCATATGTTTCCTGAATTACTAAACTTCTTCCAATTATTCGATCTGGAAACTCAATAATATGTGGACCAAGATCATTGTAAATAGGTATAAAGACACATCACTAAGTTTCTGGGAGAAATTACAAAGTCCACTTCAACTTGTAAAGCATGCTTGTTTGTTGTTAATTTGAATTTCTTTATGCTTGACCACTGCTTGAATGGTTTTACACAGCTGTCTACAATAGTGGTCTGTGATGAATGTGGAAGAACTTGCAGCGATTTTCGAAAGTCACTGCATTGTAAAAGTGTTTTACCCACTGAGCTATCCTATTTATTTCAATGGTTTTCTCCCCAAAAACATGTCATGGATCTTGAAATTGTAGATCCGATTCGTAGTACTCTTCTAAATGAGCTTCGAAGCTGACCATGGCAAAGTTGTAATTTAATTAACAAATTTTATCCAAATATAATTTCCGGATCTAGGCCTTGCAGCCCTGTTTTTAGATTGGAAGTTTCCAATAAGTCGAATATCACAGTAAACGGTCCGTTTTTCCTGAAAGTATGGTGATAAATGAGGTAAATGAACCTTTCCTTTATGGCAACAAAGGGTAAAAAATGTAACTTACTCAGCCAATATTTTCTTGCTTAAAATATAAGGCATCGCCATGTTAACATTAAACTTGTCCAAGGTTAGATGTAACACCACGGCGGTCTAAAATTTTAAATTACGTGATAAAATGGTAAAGTAATGGGTAAATGCATTGCGATTAAGCACTTTTAAACATTGACTTCTTTATACCGAACTGTAACGAAAACTATGTGATAATTTAGTAAAATACTACCTAAGGGAAATCAATATAACTATTGCAAACAATTTGTTGTTTTGCTAGGAAATACTTTATAGTAGTAATGATACAGACTTCATAAAAAGACGTTAAAATACAAATATAAATAATTCCGACTTTGCTCTGGAAGTAATAAGTCCTGCAGCATGTGATTAACCTTAAGAACTATTTCAAACTATGTCCATATGTTTAGTTGTAAATAAAGTAAATTAAGTTTGGTTCAATGACGACGGATATCACCACTGTTCCGAAACTTTAGCCCTTAACTGTACTCAAGTGATGCCCTTTCTTAATATTCTGAGACATATTTGATCATCTAGGAGCAAATAATTTACAACTTTTTATAGTATACCGTTTCTTTAATATTTCAAAAGTCTATTGTAAAGCCACAAAAATATTTCTAAAGTATATGACAGCTGATGTCAGTGTTGCTAATGATTTATTGTAAGTGAAGATGGAAGGATTTGTGATTTAATTTGAAGAAGATTGACCTAAACAAATTGTTTATTTAAATTTAATTATTCAAGATTGAAATTTAAAATGTCAAAAATAAAGAAAAAATATTGTGTAAAAAAGAGAGATAAGGAAAATCATGTATGTGAAAATGTTATTAGAAAATTTGGTAAGTTGTTCTCATATCAGCCCACACAAGATTTGAAATTAATCAAAACCAAACTGGCGGTTAACGTAACAGATTTAAAAGCCAAAAACGTTTCTATAAAGGCCATTAAGGTTGAATTATGTTTCGAAAAGCATTGGGGGAGTAGTACAAAGTACAAAAGCTAGTAAATAATAAATCAAAGAGAACTCAGAATGGATCCCTGCGGAACCCCATATTCAGTGGTGAAAGATTGATATGGAATTTTATGGACTAATAATTTATTGATATGGAATAATTTCAACAAAATATTTTTTGTGAGAGAACCCTTTGAGGTTGAATTTTTTTCCCATTTTTCAGCGAGTATAGTTAGCTATTCGAGTGGTCGGGAAAATGGTGCCTGGTGACTTATTCTCGCCATTTTTGACCGCAAAGATAAACTTTTTTGAATTTTTTTTGTTAGTATAGGTCGTGATTTTTGAGCAGTCGGGAAAATGGTGGGTGGCGACCTATACTTGCCATTCGACCTCAAAGGGTTACGCAAATTCAAAGCAACGCCTCTATACCCAAGTTACTAAGCCTTGAAATTAATATATCATGTGATATTGAATCAAATGTTTTTTGCAGGTCTAAGAACAAACCCGCAACCTTAAATTTACCATCCAAACTATCAATGGCTGATTCAATAAAATAAAATGAGTGGCAGCAGTTATAACCGACTTACCACTGCGAAACCTTTGTTGATAGTGTTGTCAAACAGTTTTTGTTATTTTCAAAAAATGTTACCAATTGATTATGAATTACATTTTTTACAAATCTTAGAGACTAACAAAGCTATAGGTTGATAATTTGACACCATTTGCCTGTCTCTCATATTAAAAAGTGGTTTTGATTTTGAACTTATCAGTAAATATACCTGATATCAAAGAATAATTAACTAAGTGAGTGATTGGTTTTAGTAAAAATGTATTCTTTTTCCAGAAGAACCACAGGAACCTCATCATAGCCTATACTAAAATAGTTTTTTAGACTATTAATAATTCTATATATTTCTTTCTCATCAAAGCTCAACAAAGCTGAATCTAAACTTATTAGGTACTAAACTGAAATATTTCTTGCTTATCTCATTCCCTGACATCTGTTCAAAATTAGACATTAGAAATTAAACAACTAGTTATATTTGAAAATATTCAATAAAACTGTTACAAATAAATACAGGGTCAGAATTTAACTTATTACCTACTTTTAAATTAACGTTTTGTACATTCTTAGATCCTATAGCCACTTCTGAATTTATAATAACCCAAGAGGTTCTATTTGCATTGTATGTTTGTATTGTTGTTTTGTAATACAGTATTGCTTTTTAAAATACTTCAATTTTGACCTGAACGTTTTAATTTTCTAACTTTTTATATAAAGTTTTACATTTTACCTCTTGGGCTGATTGGCTAAGGTAACAATTTTTGATTTTTCTGCTTTTAACTAATTGCTATCAAAGTTAGGTTGTTGTGTATGCTGTCTTGACAGAGGTTTAAGAAAACATATGTTAAAGTAATAACTGTATTATTTGTAAGCATTGTATAAGACTTCTGTAAATAGTTCTTAGGTATGTAAGCCAACTTTTATTTAATGATGACCTAGCCAATGGAACTTGTATATATTATTGTTAATTCTGGCTCAATAAACGATTTGATTCATAAAATTTATTATATTTATTTTCCACTGGAGAGGCATAAAGGTATGTCTGTGACTCACATTGAAGTAAGTTTTTACACTGGTATATGTGAGTCCAAAAATTTTCTTTTGTACTCAAAATAAAATTACTGTTGTAAAATTTTGGGAAGAATTTTTTGGCACAGAATTTACAATTACCAGCATCTGACCATCATGGTCAGACAACTGAGTGTTGATGCCTGTTTCTGTAATTGTAAGGTTCCAAATTTGTAAAAATATTGTCTATGGTAGATTGAGTAGATTCTGTGTTCTAGTTGAAAAATCAATTAATTAAGAAAATCCATTTGCTCTCACAATATGCAATAAACTGTTCTGATTTTTATAATTTTTTTCAAGCATGTCAATACTACTTTTGCCAATAAAAGCTATGTATTTGTACTTTAAGTTGAGTATTACATCTAAAATGTTAGACTTTTTAATAAACTCTGATTCGTTTTGTTTGATAGGATTTCTTTAACAACCAATAATTTATTTGTGTAACTAGTGTGAGAAGTAGCACTTTGCTGCACATGAGAGAAATGTTTACGCACGAGCTGCAGGCAAGTGTGGAATGTTTCTCAAGTGCAGCAAAGGCACTTTACACCTGGTTACAAATTACAATTTTCCTACAGTTACTATTAAGCTAATAATTAATCTTTCAAAACACATACAACACGTTTTTAGGTTAGGTTAAATCCAAGCGTTGAAAGAAATGGGAAACGCTGCACCATCTGATCGTAGTCGTAGTATCTTGAAGTGTTGCTAACTTCAATTGTAAACATATCACGTGCCCAATAAAAGCACACTGTTTTCTCTTGTTTGGTTGGAATACTGGAGTGCGGCAAAATAAATAAGTGCGGCAAAAGTAAAATGAGTGCAGCAAAAGTAAGTAAATCCATCAATGAACTACTTTGCATGCTATAATCATTGCAGTGCAAGGAAGCCCACTTTGTCAGGTGACTGTAGGAAAAAGTAATTTATCCTTTGATACAGCCTTTTGTATTTCAATTAAACAACATTCAAAAAAAATTCTGCGTTCGGTTAATCAATGTTCTGTTGTAAAATAATGTTGCCAATAAAAAAAAGGTTTGTTAAAAAAAACATCATCCCTCCCAATGGTAAAAACTATATAGGCTACAATAGTAAGTTTGGATTAGTTTTATAAGTTTGTAATAGTTTTCTTGTATGAGAAATAAGTTATTTTTAAGTATGGAGGTCCCCAGTGGTTTATGAATGTTGTAAACTTTAAGTACAATAGTACAGATAACTGAAATGTTATGGTCTTTGTTTTCAGTAATTCCTCCAAGAAGGTGTTTACGGTGAATGAAAAGGTGCTAGCAGTTTGGGCGTATAACGAAAAGTATCCAGCCACTGTTAAGAAAGTTTTGCCCAACGGTTAGTTCATATGATTTATATTTTATCTATTCAAATATAATATACTTTTTGACACTCTTTAACATAAGTTACAGTAACCTAGAAAGGCTTGTCTGCGACTAACTGAGAATCTGCATTAAAAAATCAATTCCCAAAAATTTGAGTTGTAGCACGATATTTCACTTTAAACCAAAACTTTGTTGCTCATTCAAACTACGTTAATGTTAGCAATAAGTATGACTAGAATGTAATCAAGATAAATATCAACAATAGCACACCAAAATCATAGTTATCCATTATCCAATGACATTAACACATTTTTGTTGTCCTGCAGTGAAAACAGGTGTTTTTTATGTGCATTTCGGGAATAAAGTAATTCAATGCTTCCCTAGGGAAAAAGAATCAGCTTTGATCAAGGACATCAACTAGGTCTTAAAATATGTATGACTTAAAAATTTCTTCTGATTTTGCCAAAGGAAATAGTCCACATAAATAAACAAAATAAAATCTTGTTATTAATATTGTATGAAATTACTTTGTGAGTCAGAGCTCTTCAAAGCATGCATTTTTGTACTTAAAATTGATGTACTGTCTCCAGTATCGTTGCAAAATAAAATGCACTCTTGTAACCTTTGTTGGTTGATTTGTCTTGATTGAAATCTTAGTTTTACGGCAGACAATTTGCATACAAGATTTTAAATACCAAACCTATCAACCATAATTTTCGTACTTGTAATTTCAGCTATTCTATTTCTTAACAACTGTTTCAGATAAGTACGAAGTTCTGTTTAGTGATGGTTATGCCAAAATTTTGCGAGGCTGTAAGTTGTACAAGGCTACTGAAGAAGATCTAAAAAACATTAAGGTATGCTTTTGGTTGAGTTTTCTTAATATAGTAATGTTTTACAAGTGATTTGCAGATATTAAACAAAACAAATGTGGTGAGAATTTTGTTCTGATAGCTCTTGTATCCTTATATTAATGATTCTGTCTTAAGGACCAGCTAATCTTATTCAGTAAATATGGTCTCTACTCTCCGGGAAATACAGGAAACCTTCGGGAATTTTATCTTACCTTGAAATATCCTGGAAAACTCCAGGAATAAACCCAAACCTCCGTGAATCCGATCCTGGTCATCGAAATAGTCGGTTAACCGAAAGACTACCGCTAATATTACCACGACCCCGTGAAACGATTAGGGCCTACCGGTGTCGCCGAAACTACAAAATATGCTCGCGGGTGTTGCCGCGATCGCGGAAATGATTACTTAGAATGGCTGAAAAAAATAAAGTTTTTTCTTCTAATTTGAAGGTTATTGTTTTGTTGAAGGAATGTGTGTGAGTCGGTGGCTTAGTCGGTAGCGTCACTGACTTCGGGCAATGAATCTGTCATCATTGCTTCGGGCCCAAGCCAGCTATGTCGGATTCGGATCCTGGTCACTGCCGTAAACATGTTATCAGTACAGATCACGGTAGTTGTATATCGATGAGTTCACCTTCGTACTGTACCGGCTCACCCCTTGCTTTGCTGTATAAGACCCATGCACGAGCAGTTAGTCTATGTGGACTGGCAAATGCAGAGGCCGCCAAACTCTTAAAAAAGCATGAAATAACCCTATTGACTAAATAGTAAACGATTCAAGATTAAATGGAAAACTCATATGTTAAAGATTTATTCTACACTTTTTTTTGTAAATTTACTAACATTTATATTTGAGATTTATAGTAGAGTTTAATCAATACTTTGTATGAAGTAAAAAAAAACATGTTTGCTGCCTTTAGCTGAGTTAAACCTTGGGAGTCATTCAAATTATTTATTGAAAATAACATTAACAAAAGCAAAGAAAGACAAACCACAAACTTTTGCACAAAGGACATGTTGAACTGGGATAACTATCCTGACACATAAGTTAGATAATTTGATTCTGAGTTTGTTTGAATATTACAATAATTTGTTATGTCCCTGCAAGCCACTAGTATTACTTAAATACAAACCGTCTATTTAATTTGTAATCACCCTGTATAAATAAATATATATATATATATATATATATACTAGCTGTACCCACGGGCTTTGCCCCGTTTAACTTCATAAGTATTCGCATGGCTCAATCACGTCCCGGTTGAAGTTCGTTCGCTACGCTCACTCACCTTTAGGTTGGAGCTCATTCGCTGCGCTCACTTGTTTTCAGGTTAGCTCGTTCGCTACGCTAACTCGCCTCCAGGTTGATGTTCGTTCGCTACGCTCACTCACCTTTTGGTTGCAAATTAGCTGTTGTCATAAATTTTAAAAAGTCATCCCTTTTATTGTTTATAATACTTTGATAAAGGTTTTTATGTTTTAATATTTAACATTGGAGAATTTAAACGTTGTTAAGTGCACAGGTGTGCTGCAATTGGGTTTAATACATTTGGACTTATTCAAAAGTAAAATAGTTTTCTGTGCTACACTCTGTAGAAACACTGTGGCACTATTTCAAATCATGACTAATGCTAATACAGAATGTTGTAACTATTCAAACCTACAAAACAGTTGGTGAAAGTAAACATCTGCTTTTAAATTATATTTATTTGTAAACATTGTAGATCAAAAAGTCTGACATTGGTCCACTTAAAACCCTCTGGGGCAGAGCCCTTTTGACAGATCTGCACCAAACTTCACTCGAACCATCCTTGAAAGATGCTTAATAATGCCTGAAAGTTTCATTACAATCTGTCGAGCGGTTTCTGAGTCCATAACGTATATACATACACACATATATATATATACACACATACATAGTTCCTCTTTTATAGATATAGATATGAATTTGAACAGATGGTGTTTTTGGTCTCTGGGGGACCTCAAAGCAAAAAAGTAAATCGGTCCCGGTCCCGGGTCTAGGTTTTACCAAGAGACCTACGGTAATAGCTTATTCCATATATGGGAAATTTGCTAAAAATGAACACTGGGACACAACTCCCGTCGACATCAGACTCTTGACAGTTATTGTGTCATATCACAACTAAACACATAGAAACAACCATAACCTGTCACTTTAATATCTGAATTGGATGTTACAAAGTTAGTTATTAAATCAACATTTAATTTGACAATAAAATCATTTTGTTTTTATGTCTGTTACAAACATTATCCCAACTTGGAATTTGATTTAGGTATTATAAATTACCAAAAAATATTTATGCCAATGTATCAAATATGAACCTCAATAAATTTTTAAAATGATGTTGTAGTTGCCGCCCCCAAAAGAGCCAGCCCCTCCCATGGGTGCTGATCCATTAGACCCAAATTTGGGGCCGAAAGAAGAAAGGCGACTGAAGAAACGGAGACTGGACGTCTACGAAGCTTTGCGACCTCAGAAAAAGCAGAGGTAAACTTGTTAACTTTAAAACCAGTAAAGAATAAGCATACAGTTGCATTAACGGTTATACACTGCTATTGGATTAGTAACATTGAGAAACAAACTTAAGTTCAATACCATGTTATTTAATTTCATTTGATTCCTACTGTTTTTCATATTGCAACAGGCGTTGCTGTACAGTGTATGGTACAGCTCTTAAGTTGTCAATCTATTTGTTGATTGTTTAATTCAGCAGGGGATTGATAAATGAGGTTATGAGTCAGTGGTCAAACCAATAACACAAGGGAGTATGAACTACACTATAGTGATGTTTGTCCCAAATATTTATCAGTACAGTTCATTCTTGTATTGTAACGGCTCACCCCTTGCTTTGCTTTGATAAGTTCCACATACAGACCAACACACACACACACACACAGATACCTGCCAAACAATACAATATTTTGTTCCCTGGGGGACTTTGGCATGTGTAGATAAAAATTTTGTTCAACTCTCGTTTGTATAGCCTACTAGACTAAGAGGCGGAATGGGAGCTCGGTATTAGCGCTAGTCCACGACTAAAACCGGATATTTCCGGTATTTTAAGCTGCCGCCTAGAAAACGGGTTTGTGAGCTCGGGATCAGTTAGGCGCCCGCCTAACTTGTGCAGGGATAATCTTGCGCCTAAATATTGTTGGTTTGGGAGTCTAGCAGACTTAGGCGCCAGCTTAAGAGATAGTCTTGGTGGGTTTGGGAGACCAATTTCGGGACTAAGAGATATATATTTTCGTCATAAAAATTAGTGAGTTTAGTCAGCAACTTTAGTCCTGCCCGGGGGCAGGTTTAAGTCCACATCCTGCCGGTATTACCTCATTAGCAAGTCAATTGTTTACATATTAACTAAAAGAATGTTATATTGGAATTTGTTATTGATTATAAATTAAAAGTCATAGTTTGGTATTAACTATCTTTATAAAACCAAAAGTAAATATTTACAAAAACAACATAAACAAATGAATACTAAACATATGTTATTTGTCATCTTCCCCTTGAGCTTGGAGTCCTAATCATCTTTTTTTTATAAATCTATTATTTCTTCTCCTTATACCCTTGTCTTTAATAGAAACTAAATAAGATCTGGGCTGTTGAAGTTTCTTCTCTATTACTCCTTCATCCCATGTTTTATTGAATACATCTTGAACCCATACTTCCTGCCCTTCAGTAAAGCTATCTTCACGGTTTAAAGACTTTCTATCATAATGTGACTTTTGTGCTTTCTGAGTTTCTATCATTTTTTCATAGATGCTGTCCTCAACAAGTTTGGGTTTTAATAGTTCTTCTCTCATTGGAATTTTACTTCTTAAGTGTCTGCTGTTAAGAAGCTGAGCTGGAGAAACTTCAAGGTTAGATATTGGGCTGTTTCTGTAGTTTAATAAGTATAACTGCAGATCTTGTTTTGTTTCTTGACATTTTTTTAACATTTCTTTCACTATTCCGACAGATTTTTCCACTAATCCATTTGATTGGGGATAGTATGGACTTGTTGTTATGATTGTTACATTCCATTCCTGAGAAAACTGCTTAAACTCGATACTGTTGAAAGGCATATTATCAGCAATCAGTGTTCTAGGTATCCCAAATCTAGAAAATACTTCTTTAAGCTTAGAAATAATAACTGAACTACTTTTTGAACTTATCTTCAGAGCCTCAATCCACCGAGAGTAATAGTCCACAATTACTAGATAATAACTTCGTTGAAATTCTGCAATATCAACTGCAATTTTGCTGAATGGAATGTTTGGAATATGATTCATCATTGGACTTCTGGTTTTTGATTTCCCAAATTTTTGAAAAATTTTACATGTTGACACTACATTTATTACATCAGAAGTCATACCTGGCCAGTAAAACAATTGTTTCATTTTTTTGTTGATTTTAGAGGATCCTAAATGAGTTTCATGTAGAGTATCTAATACAAACTTTCGCAAACTTTTGGGTACAACTAATCTTTCGCCATAATAAATTAAATCATCATTAACCTGCAGGTCTTGTCTGATATTAAAAAAATGTTTTATCTCACCCTCAAGTACTTTTGGATCCGGTCAACAGTTATGTAGATACTCACTTACCGAGGTCAAAATATTATCTGACTTAGTTTTGGATTGAAAAAGTTTTAGTCTAGGTTCGTCTTCAGTTATTTCGTGAACTTCCACAGTGTGAACGAAATCATCCATTAGAACATCTTTGGGTTCGTTAGTTTTTATTCCACATCTTGACATGAAGTCGGCAATGTACATATATCTTCCTGGTAAGTATTTTACTTTCAGCTGGTAATCAATTAGTTTTAGTTTCAATCTCTTTAGTCTGTTATTTACAATTTTCCCAAGTGGTTTTACTGCTATTGACACAAGTGGTAAGTGATCTGTAAAAACTACTACATCCTGAAGACCATATATATAAGTGTGCAGTTTTTTTACAGCAAAACAAATTGCCAGTTGTTCTTTCTCTATCTGTGCATAGTCTTGCTCAGTATTGTTCATTGATCTGGACCCAAAATGTACAGGCTTACCATTCTGAAGCATACAAAAGCCAATAGCATCCTTTGATGCATCACATTGGATTTCCACAGGTATATCTGGATCAAAAGGTGCGAGAACCTGAGAACTACAGATAATTGTTTTTAAATCTTCAAGTACTTTTGAATGACTCTGAGTCCAATTCCAAACTACATTCTTTTTTAGAAGTTCTCTTAATGGAGCAGTTAATTCAGACACATTTGGAATGAAACTTCTTAAATAATTTATCATTCCGAGCATTCTCTGCAGTTCAGTTTTGTTAGTTGGATTGACTAATTTTTTGATTGAATCTATTTTGTCAGGATCAGGTGACATCCCTTCTTTTGAAAATTTTACCCCTAAGTATTTTACTTCACTTTTACAGTACTGAAACTTGCTTAAGTTAAATTTGATATTGTACTTTCGAGCCCGCTCAAACACTTGTTCAAGAATTTCATCATTTTCTTCTTTAGATCTGCTTGCTATGCAAAGATCGTCGAAATAAACTGACACCCCTGGTATATCACCAAAGTATTTACTTACAAGCCTTTGAAACATTTCAGGCATACAAGACAGACCAAAAGGAGCTCTCAGAAATTTATATGTTCCAAATACAGTTGCAAAAGAACAAAGATTACTTGATTCCTCGTCTAAGCGTACATGATAAAACCCATCCTTTAAATCTAAGATGGAGAAATGAGTTTTGTTGTTTAGCATAGGAGAAATTTCATTCAAAGTTGGAATTGTGAACTTCTCTTGCACAATATTTTTATTTAACTCTATTGGATCAATGCAAATTCTTAAGGACCCATTGGGCTTTTCCACCACAACAACATTACTTACCCAATTTACTGGTTCTTCAACAGGTTGTATGATGCCTCTTTTCACAAGAGAGTCCAAGGTCTCTTTAAACTTATCTTTAATTTTTAGAGGTAGCCTCCTTGCAGTACTAATTGTGGGTTGTGCGCCCTCTTTTATTTTGATTTTACATTTATCCGGGAAACAGCCTAATCCTTCAAAAACATCTTTATTTTCCTCAAAGATTTTTAACTTCTCTTTCTCTAGGTCGGTATTACCACCATTTGCATTTCTGACACTGTCAATTCGTTTTAGTAGGTTAAATTTAATACATGTTTCAAGTCCTAAAATAGGTACTGTGTTTTCATTTTTTACAATTAAAAAACTAACTACATCAATCTTTTGATCGGTTTCAATTTGAACATCGATTACACCACAAGGCTTAATGGAAAACCCCCCAAATGACTGCAATGTGGTGTTACAAGGCTTCAATTTACTAGGCAAGTTTAGATTTCTTAAATAGCGAAATGGCAATACATTGACATCTGCCCCACTGTCAAGTTTGAATTTTATTTCTTTGCCTTCTACCAGAAGAGTCTTATACCAAGCGTTTTTATTTTTTATGCTATCAACCACACAAAGGCTATTAATGTCTGATTCATGATTGTCTTCAACTGACATGCTGTTATCACAAACATTTTGCAAATTATTACATTGTTTTGAACCAAGGAATTTATTATTATTTCGGCAAACACTAGCAAAGTGGTTTGGCTTACCACATTTTTTACAGATTCTTCCTATTGGAGGACACATTCCATGATGGATACCACCACATCTATAACAATTATTAGTTTTGCCTACCTGTCTGTTGTAACCTCCTTGTGACGTGTTATACCCCTGCTGCTGCTGCTGATTAAAACGTCGTATTGCACTCATGCCCTGTCCATCTGTAAATTTAGAATTCACGACCGTGTCAACTTCAAAACTGTTTTGATCTGTTTTACCTTTATTATTGACAAGTCGCACATTTTTCTCTGCAAGTTCAGATGCTTTACAGAAGTTGATTACTCTATCAAAACTTGTATCTTCTCTTAGTAGTTTTTCCTGCAACTCTTTATTATTCACTCCTAGAATTATAAGTGCTCTCAATATTTTTTCTTCCTGTCCTTCAAACTTGCAACATCTTATTAGATTTCTGAGGTCTGCGTAAAACGAGTCAAAATTTTCATGAGGTAGTTGTTTCCTTGAAAATAAAAGATGAATGCTCATGGTCATATTTTGTTTTGGTACACAGTGTTTTTCCAATGTCTTTATCACGTTTTCAACAGTTTCAACCACAGACTCATCTTTTATTGAGTTGTACAATTTCAAACCATCTGTCCCCAGTAGATTTTTCAGTCTGGCTAATTGAATTTCCTTACTTTCTTTCGTTGTTTTTGTTGCAATAAAGTAAATGTCGATTTCTTCCTTAAACTGTTTAAATTTGTCTGAAATGTTTCCCTCCGATAGGTTTAGTGGATCTGGTTTGTTGAACTCCATAATATTTAAACTTTACTTTCTCTTCTTCTATTTAAACTTTACGACTGCGCCATGATTATAAATTAAAAGTCATAGTTTGGTATTAACTATCTTTATAAAACCAAAAGTAAATATTTACAAAAACAACATAAACAAATGAATACTAAACATATGTTATTTGTCAGTTATTAAATTCCGAACAATAACATTATCCTTAAAGTATATTTGATAAATGTTTTTTTTAGGTATATGTTGTTCATAATGAAACAAAAATCTTGCAGGAAGCTAAATTTTACAAAAGATTATTTGGTTTTTGTTTTTACTGTTAACTGCAATAAAAATATGGACCGTAGAATTTCTTTCAACTGAGAGTTTGGTTACAAGCACCTGTACCTTAATAATAAATATTTTATTAACTAGGAAAAAATTAGCAACAGCATACTCACCCCCTACGATAGAGTGAAGAGATATTATTAAATAAAACATAAAAAACTGCAAATAGCTCACAGTCATAATCGTTTTCCTTTAATTGCGTTGTGATTGAGTTGAGTGTAGTATCATTGACCAAGTGCTAGTTACATCAAAATGGAGTACCAAGATTATTTGGAGTATAAGAAAATATATATATCAATAACCCAGCCATAGAAAACCTGCAGACTAAGCGAATTTCCATTAACCTGATAGGACTTTCAATTAAATTTATTTAAATAGCTTTAGGTTTAACAAGTACCTACAACCAACTACGTGTAGGTATGCTGATACGGGGAGGGTAATAAAGTGTGTTTTTACCAAAATATTTACAGATTTATATAAAACTAGCAGAGTACCCGTCCTTTGTATGGGGTTAGCATGTATAAAATGCTTATTACAGTTATGGGAGAGGACGCGGTTTAAGAAAATTTGGTCTTTTAATTTATAAGGTGTAGCACACATCTACCCTAATGTTCTACCACTGTACATAAACCATAGAAAAAAGTTCTCATTGTGTACCAGAACTTTTTGACCCGACAGACGTCGTCCTATCCTAATGTGGTTTTATGTCAAATGCTCGTTCATTTTTAAGATGAGCTCATTCGTATCGCTCAATCACGTCCTGGTTGAAGTTCGTTTGCTAGGCTTACTCACCTTTAGGTTGGAGCTCGTTCGCTGCGCTCACTTGCCTTCAGGTTTAGCTTGTTCGCTACGCTCACTCACCTTTTGGTTGCAAATTAGCTGTTTTCATAATTTTAAAAAGTAATAGTGCTGCACCCTGTTGGCGAACCTATTAACTTTTTAATGCTATTGAACATCACAGAATCAAATTGTTTATTTGAACCAGCTGTTAAGATTCTTTAATTCCATTTAAATATAAGTACTCAAAAAAGGTTAACATGGGGAACTACAGAGCCATTAGGGCGGAGCCCGAAAGGATAACAATATGCCTAAATGTTAATCGAGAATGTGAGCTATCATCATGCCCAATTTCAGCCCAATCCGTTCAGTAGTTTATGCGTGATTGAACAACACACAAACACACAAACTCACAAACTGAAACTAACAAACTTTCAGATTTAAAATATTAGTAAGATAAATGAATTTTCCAATTTTGATCAAAATATATCCATAAACATAATGGATTTTCGTACTGGATTTTAAGTACAAAATTACAACTGATTAAATATTTTTTAAACGTAAAGTGAAAATAAAGATAGATCTTAAAAGAATTTAATACAGTATAAAGAATTATGGTTCTTTAGTCATTGAGATGTAAAACAACAATCTTACAAAACTAAATTTTTGCAATGGTACAACACGGAAAATTACACCATAGTCTACTAATTAGCCACCATTGATATAGCCTACCGTTGTTGTCAACAGTAACGTGTTCTGCAGTGGCCGTTGCCAATGTCAAAACCTAAATTCCCTGCGATTCCCTGTCCATCTTCTAGCCGCGCCGTGACTTAGTCCCGACTATACTTGTTCTACGACCATTACAACTTAGGCGCGAGCTCCCAAGCCTGGTTTTTGATCCGGGTACTAAAGTTAGGCGCTAGACGAAGATAAGTAAGTTTGGTGGAAAAGTTCAAACGAAGCACAATAACACAAACACATTTAAACATTTAAACCCAACAGTTTGACATAGTATTTTGTAATAAACCTATTTTCCCCCCATAGGTGCATGGGCGTGAGAGTATGGATGTGCACAATTGAAGTCTGAAAACATTCTTATTTTACTGATTTAATTAATTTTCCATTTTATCTCTAGACTGGACCACTCAGAGGAAAGTATGCCAAGATCTGCATCGCCGTCGCCGACTCGTATTCCGCTGTCCAAGCATAAGGAGACATTCAGGGTGGTGCTGCGCGGCCGACCCAGTATGCATTCAGATGAGAGCGAGGGTGATGACAACGAAGGATGGGATGAGGGTGAAAACGAGTCTGACCTAGAACCCACCGGGGACTCTGAACCAAAGAGGAGACGGAGGCGGAAAAAGGTTAAAACAATATTTTGCGATTGTTAAAAAGTGATTAACATTCTCAATAGGAGCAATAAACCTAGGCGGATCCGAGTATTACTCCAACAATCTGAAGGTCCAGCTAATCCAAACCACCTGTTAAGGAAAATAGGTCACTGTATTTTTATTTAAAATAGAATTGTGTCCAATCATCCAAGAAACTGAAAATCTTAAGTGAATTTTCATCACTGGGAAAAAGTCTTTAAATTTTACATAAATTTTTAAAGGCATAATTGCCAATAGGCTATGGCTGATTGACTTTAACAGTGTTTCCGTTATTTCTTTAATAAGGTCATCTTCTTGTAAGAAGAATGTGACTGTGGGAGTTGTTCATGGATGTTGGTTGCTGTGATCGTTTTAGATTATCACCAATATTTTTGCCATCACGGTGTTATCAAGATCGCGGAGCAATAAATGACCGTTTAAAGTCATAAAATACATTGTTTTATTTTTTGATGCAATTTTATTGCATTTCAACTAGTCTGAACAGGCTAGGTCCCAATTTTAGTTTGCATCAGCGGAACGATTGGTTTTCTGAGGGAAATTTTATTATGTAATTAAAATATAAAAAATGCATTTACACAATATTTTACAAAACTATTTTGTATTTCATTTTTATAACTCTGGAAAACACTAAGCAATGTAAATATTTAAAGAAGAATTAAATGACTGATTAATTTTGAGTTAAGGTAGAATTCCACTGTTTACCTGATACTTACACTGTAGACCTAGACCTCAATAAAAGGTCACATTACATAATATTTGCAGTTTTTTAAATGGATAAAGTTCTACCATGTTCTACTATTTCACCTGTGAAAATGATAAGCTCAAGGGCTAGATACACAATCGTAGATTTGTACCCTTTTCTGCGTTTATATTTTTTTTCTATTAGCTCTTGGACTCTTATTTTCTCAAGTAAACTAGCTAAACTCTATCGCTTTTCAAACAATTTGTTGACAATATGTTATAGACCATAATGTGTGTATGTTGCCACAGAAAGTGTCGCTAGACAACAGTGAGCACAGGCAGTACCAGTACCGCAACAGACACACGCCTGAAGAGGACCCTGACAGATGGGACATGGAGATACCTGAGGGAGTCGTTCCTGTGCAGATCAAGGATAGTGAAGGTAGGCCTACCTAGGGTAGCATGTGGGAGGAGTGAGAGAAAGGCAATTGTATCAGTAATTTAAAGACGGGGACGTCACTAAGTGCGTATTTTAACCCAAATGTGAGTGAAGGATGAGTGTAGGATGAGTGGCGCGATCTTGTAGTCTTGTTAGTGACTAAGGCCGACATGTTCCTTTGACACAGCTGTTAATTAATAGCCCATACAGCCAATGGCAACAATGAATGGGACCTACAGTTGATAGAGAAATCCGAACCACATTTTCCCTTGTAATTAACAAATTGATTATCAGGATAGTACTTAGACTTAGTGTTTGTCCAAAGAGCCGAAACTCTCAGACGGTCGCCCGGTACCTATTACATAACCCGGGACCCATGATGCCAGCCAGAACTTGCACACTGACCTTTACGACACCATGAGTGAATGGCTAAAGGCCATCAGGCTCATCGGCTGCCAAATGGCACTCCCATCGGAAAGAGGGTTGCCCCTCAATCCTAACCAGGGATACCGACTACTTGGTCAAGCGTCCACTCCTTCTGGGTTCCCCCAGGTACGAAACCCAGAAGGACCATAGTGGAATGCCCTGACGCATTTAGTGCAAGCAACACTCGGGACCTATCTAATCCCTGACAGGCCGAAACCCGCCATCATAGCCAGGAGGAGGGGGACCATCAGCGGAACCCCAGCCACCTATTTACACCACTACCCGATCGAGGCCAACCCATTGCTGGGAACCAGAGATAACAAGAGCGATAGATCCCCAGCTACCCCTGGCGGGCTTGAACCCAGCACCCGATATACTTCGTTTGCCCATCTAGCCCAACATCGCTGCCTAAAGGTTTTTTTTGTATTTTAAAATTAAACTGTCATAACCTAACCTAACCAACCAAACTTGCTGATAAAATAAAAAAATATAAGATAAAAATCAAATAAAGCAAAATCATTGACAAAAAGTTAATGACCACGACGGGTTTCGAACCCGAGACCTCCTGAACACTAGTTCGATGCGCTACCAACTGTGCCACGAACGCCGCTCGAATCACATCGTTTCGTTACGGTAATCGTGTTGCCTCAAGAGAAGACAATAGCCACTATAGATATGACGTCACCACACCTTTAGCCATCGTCCCTCCCGTATGCCCATTCCCAATGTAATCCCTTACTTTGATGATATTTTGGTTAAAGCAGGAACAATACATGAATTGATTACCACATTAAGACAAATATTCACTCGTTTTAGAGATGCAGGAATTACACTCCAAAGCGAAAAGTGTTCTTTGTTATCTACATCAGTGGACTTCTTGGGATTTGTCGTGAGCTCTGATGGAATTCGTCCTAACCTGGACAAAGTCAAATCCATCCAAGATGCTCCTGAGCCGACTAACAAGGAACAACTGCAGGCATTTTTAGGGTTACTCAATTTCTATCACTGTTTCTTACCGAACAAAGCCAATGCTGCAGAACCTTTACATCGCTTATTGGATAAAAATGTTAAATGGCGGTGGGAGGAAAAATATAAACTTGCATTCAATGCTTCAAAGAAGCTCCTTTCTTCCGATAGTATACTGGCTCATTACAATCCCTCCAGCCATGTTATACTAACTTGTGATGCATCTCCTTATGGTATTGGTTGTGTGCTTAGTCAGGTTCGAGGGGAAAAGGAAGTTCTAATTGCGTTTTATTCCAGGACAATGAGTCAGTCAGAACGAAGATATGCTCACGTAGATAGGGAAGCACTTTCCATCATTGGTGGGATTAAGAAATTTCACAATTACTTATATGGGAGGCATTTTGAAATTAGAACAGATCATAAGCCACTTCTGGGTCTTTTCACTGTGGATAAACAAACACCAAACACACTGTCACCTCGAATGATTCGCTGGAGTATCCTTTTAAATGGATATGACTTTGATCTTGTATACAAACCGGGGATTTCTATTCCAAATGCTGATGGTTTGAGTTGTCTTCCATGTTTCTCCAATGCTGTTGATCAAGAGATAAATGAAGTCTTGAATTATGTGTTATACAGGGTGCGGCAAAAAAACCGATTCATTTTCTGCAGCGCACTGTTCAGCGACAGGTCGTCTGAGGGTGGTGGGAGTAGGCTCGTTGGAAAGCCTATACGATACCATTTTTTGTAGTCATAGAGCAGTGGTCATATGAGTTACGTGCAGTTGTTATCGAGTTGTTTTTAAAAAGTAATGATTAAGTCATTCAACTCAGCGGCAGTTCCGTGCTTTTATTCAATTAGGTCGACATAGAGAGGTTCTGTTGTGATTATCTGTATGGATGATTACCAAATTATACACATTATTATTCTAATCCATAGGGATGAAAATTAACCTCAAAATTCGTATAACTGAGCGGTTAGACATGTTCAAGGCAGCCGCTTGTTTTCGGGCTGGCCTACGAGGACTGTTTTCCACAGCAGCACAAACTCTATCAAATGTTTGTTGTCTGGCGTCTGATCTGACTTTGGAAGGCCTGTCAGCTTCCTTTTCAACCCAGAAGTAGTTATCCTAAAGTAAGTAACCCACTGCATTTTTGTGCTAAGCAACAGAACTTCTCCATGTCGCCTTAATTTTAATTGAAAGAATGCATGAAACTGGCGCTGAGTAGCAATGAATGAATTCACTATTTTATAAAAACGAACAACCGCACTAGCTCAGGCGACCATTGCTCTATGACTACAAAAATTGGCATTGTGTAGGCTTTCCAACGAGCCTACTCCTACCACTCTCGGACGACCTGTCGCTGAACAGTGCTCTGTAGAAAATACATCGGAGGTTAAATACCGGAGGAAAATACCGATGAGGTTAAACCAATTACTGCTAATATAATAGCAAAAGAAACAGAAAAGGATCCACTTCTATCAAAAGTAATCTTATGGATTTAACGTGGCTGGCCAACTTATAACTCAGATCTCAACCTTACGCCTTTCATTTCTCGGCAAAACTCAATTTCTTAATACAAACAATGTTAACTTTGGGGAACTCTAATCATCATTAGATCTCTTGGATCATTACATCTACTCTCAGGCAACAAGCTCTGAAACTTCTACACATGGGACATGAGGGCATTGTTCGAACAAAGGCGTTGGCCCGAAGCTATTTCTGGTGGCCAAAACTTGATCAAGACATAGAAAACATAGTGAATTCTTGTCAAGCATGTCAAAGAAGTCGTCACAACCTTCCAAGAGCAATGGTTCTTCCCTGGGAGAAAACAAAACAACACTGTAGCAGCAAACTTAAGTACTCATTAAAATTAAAATTAATGTTATTTAAATACTAAATGAATCTGACGATTTTTAGGGAATGTTTTAGTAGAAATCCAGCCAAGTAAATAGAAATTTGCTTAGTCTGCAGATTTGCTGCGGCGGGGGTATTTTGCTTGAACAGAGATATCACTGTTTGTTCTCAGGTTACTACCGGGAGTCAATCATCATCCCAGACAAGAAGTTGCCGGCTGGCTGGACCAAACACACAATGAGGCGCAAGACTGGAGTCAAATGGGACGTCTTTCTAGTCAAGTGAGTTACTTTTTATTGTAGAGACATAATGAAACTGCAACCTCTGCCAAACAACTTCTCGTAGAGCCTAACATTGCAGTTTAGGATTAAACTTGTGATTTTTTTAAATTTATACATAATTTGAATCCAGGATATTTTTTTTTAACTTAAATGAGGTTACTAATCTGTCGTTAATCCTACTAATATTATAAATGAGAAAGTTTGGATGTATGGATGTATGTATGTTTGTGACAAGTAAACACAAAAAATACTGGTCGGATTGGGCTGAAATTTGGCATGATGATAGCTCACATTCCCGATTAACATATAACTTAGGCATATTCTTATCTCAAAAATCCTTTTGGCTCCGCCCCAGTGGCTCTGCAGTTCCCCATGTTAACCTTATGAGTATTCATATTCAGGTCCGATTTCACCTAATTCTCGCTAATGATGGTTTAGTTAATCTTCGGTTAAAACTAACCGATGATTTAAACCACAGTTAAGGAAATCTGGTTTCACCAACGAAAATGCGTCAAAACTAACGCTGGTTTTATAAACGAGAGTTTAGAGTAAAATCCAGGTGGCGGTGGCAGTGAACTGTCATAATACCGGGCTGTTACAGGAGCAAGTAAACATAACCTAGAAAATAAATCAGTGTTTAATGTTTATGAGGTAGTGAAAACAAGACTGGGGACAGCAAGCTTACAGGAATACAATAGATTCTGAGCAAAAAGAGCAAAATAACAACAGAAAGCGAGAATAAATACCAAAACAATTAACATAAGTAAATAAAGGCAAAGCAATGTTGATCAAACATATTTGAGGAACAAATTGATTGAGTTTTGCGGTCGAGTCAAGACTCAAAATCCAAATTTTTACAGGGATGTTCAATATTCTGTTTGTTCACTAACCAGTTTGGTACATTTGAAGTAGTGAAAAAACTGGGGCAAAAGAATTACAAGAACGAGACACAATAAAGATAACACCAAAATAGTTATTTTATTTACAATACTAGCAGAATAACGACAATTTAGATTTTTCTTTAATTACGTCTGACCGAACGTAAAACAATTATTTAACGTTGGGTTAGGGTTACCCAAAGCCGGGAAAAGGAAAAGGGAGCCTATTTTTTCAAACAATGAAATAATAAATTTGATAATGTGGTAGAAGAGCCGGGACACTCTTTATAGCCGGGATAAAAGAGTACGGCTCTTGATCGCCTATCAGTTCAATGCGGTCGCTGATCACAGATATACGCCTTAACTAAAAACCTTGTGAGATAGCCTAAACACCAAACCACTACAGTGGTTTGTATTCATTTCCTAAAGAAAAAGACTAAACGTTTTGATAGTTCATATCTAATAATAAAATCAATTTCATCTTTGTTATTAAAATCATTAACCCTTTCTCTTATCCACCTAGTTCGGCGAACAACATAGGCTACTCTTCATCGCCATCACTTACTTTTAAAAGCTAATTTGTATCGTATTCTCTTCTACCATTTCGCCTTTCCATATAAACTTTAAACTTGAAGCCAGCTGATATTTACTTAACGAAGGATTTAACCGGTCAAAATTGGGCAGTTAATTATCTAACGACGGATTAGTCTAAACTAGCTCTAACGGCGGGTGGTGAAATCCAAATTCCGTCAGTTAAGAGTTAACTACAGTTAGAGCATGGTTAACGGCGGTTTAAGTGTTTGGTGAAATCGGGCCTCAAAGGGAATTAAAGAATTTAGTCAGCTGTTTCAACTAAAAGAGTTGGTTCTATGATATGCAAAAGCATTACAAATTTATAAGATTTACCAACAGGGTGCAGCACTATTATTTTTTTCATTATTTATGAAAACAGCTAATTTGAACTAAGCAGCAACAAAAAACTGTGATGCACAATGAGAACTGTCAAAGTAGGATTGTTAACAGTTATGTTTATGTTTTTAATTTCATGAATAATTTATGATATTTTGCGAATTTTTAATAATCTATCTTTCTCTATTATGTAGGTGAAGTAGTAGGACAATATGGCTATGGTAGATGTGTAATACTATCGCATACCGTAAATTTGAGGAAGCAAATTTTCTCAAACCGTGTTTTCTCACATCGCAAACGCAAAGATCGGGTATAACTGCAATAAGCATTTTATACTTATTTGCCAACCCCGTACGAAGGACGGGTACTCTGCTAGTAAGTCATATATTGTTGTGGATGACTATAGTTTTGGGGTTAAAACTCCATTTTCAAACCTTTCTCTTCAGTTGTCAATTGTCAAACATATCTTCTTGCACTAGCCGTTGTCAAAAATACTTCACACATAAACACATACAGAAACATTCATATTTACAAAATTATGTACAAGCGCGTGAGGCCGGCCAAGGACAAAACCAGACTGCCTAGGTAATTTTTAAATCCTAGAAGTCTTAAAATTAGAAAAATGTTTTGTAAGGGTTATGTTGCGGGTACACGTGTGCATGTTGTGAGCTGAACTTGATTGCAGTTTTTGAGATCGGGCCTTATGCAAATCATGTAAAGGCATGACTCAATAACGGCTGAGCATAACATTGCCAAACTTACTAAAAAAGTTATTTTGTCAAATAGTGAGAATGTTATACAAATCCTAACTTAATAATGCCTAAACAAATTGAGACTAACTTAAAATGTTTAATACTTAACATGAGGCTTATGGGTGTCAATAATGGTTACCAATTAACAACGTAACTGTAAATAAAGAATCATATATGTTTATGAACAAGCCAATATACGGTACAAAGGAAACACTTTTGGGTGAAAGACTAAAGAAGGGCATTCGGAAACTACCTCTCATCAAATATGAACTGTATTTTACTGATTTTCTTTAAATATAAATGACTAGCTGGCCCGACAGATGTCGTCCTGTCCTAATGTGGTTTTATGTCAATGCTCGTTTATTTTCAAGATGAGCTCGTTCACATGGCTCAATCACGTCCTGGTTGAAGTTTGTTCGCTACGCTCACTCACCTTTAGGTTGCAAATTAGCTGTTGTCATAAATTAAGAAAAATGTAGTGCTGCACCCTGTTGGTAAACCTATTACCTTTTTAATGCTATTGAACATCACAGAATCAAATTGTTTAGTTGAACCAGCTGTTAAGATTCTTTAATTCCATTTAAATATGAGTACTCATAAGGTTAACATGGGAAATTCCAGAGCCACTGGGGCGGAGCCCTTTTGACGGATCAGCACCAAACTTCACACAAACCATCCTTGAATAATGCTTTATAATGCCTGAAAGTTTCATTACAATCTGTCGAGCGGTTTCGGAGTCCATAAAGGACAAACAAACAAACAAACATACATACATACAAACAAACATACATTGGATTATATATATATATAGATAACTAAACAAATAATTGTAATCAGCTTTTTAACTAACTAGCAAAAATAAAATAAATATTGATTTAAATAGGCCATTAAACATGCAGATTAATTGCTTAAATTGGAAGCTGGTTCTGGAAGGTTTCTTCTGCTTGTTCATGTGGAAACAGTTGAGTTCGTCAATGTAAACCAAATTAACAAAATGTTGTTAGTAAAAAAGTAACATTTGTCTTATGTAAATGGCAGTTAAAATGAACCATTTAAATTAGCTGTTTGTAACTAATTAGTATATCATAAACAAATTTAATGTTTGTCTAAATAGGCTATTATAAACTTGTCATTTTACCAAGTTTACATTTACATATGACGGAGAATATTAAACGACTACTTGAAGGAGAATAAATAGGAGTCTAAAAGAAGTGGTATTGGAGATTAAAAATGGACTTTCGTTTCGTAGCTAAGTATGCACTTTAGATTAGGCTGTGATGGACCTGGGAATTGAGAATTTTCTTTTGGCTTGACTTAATATTAGCGCTACCAACAGTAGGAACTATCTCGGGCTTGCTGACTGAGAAATTTTCGATAAGAATAGTTACAAGTAAATTGTCAATTGTACACGGGCAATAAAGAAATGGAGATGGAAAGACGCCAGAAGATTGCTTGTATTGTCAGGCTTAAAATTAATTAGATTCTCATGTGATAAACGATAAAGTATCGAAAAATCATTAAATGTTTTTATTAATTTGTTATATCATAATCTGTGACCGTTTTTATAAAAAAAATCCATTTAGAAATACAGTAATATGATTTGTTTACATCTTTGTTCACTCTGTCCAATTGGCGAACCTTAGACCGCATATAGGCTACCTAGTATTTTTTAAACTGAGCATTTTATAAGATAACAATCTGTACCCAAATAAAGTACATAATTGTGTGTTCACTCGTCAACCTGTCTTGTCATGTTTTGATGGTTTCAGTGCGGACGGTCGCAAGTTTAGGTCTCGTAATGAGCTGCGTAACTACTTTGCTGAGCTAAAAGTTCCGTTTCCTGACGAAAGCTTTGACTTCATGGTTGGGCGTAAGATGGAGATGATTCGCTCGCAGACTGACGGAAGGAGGAAACCAATAGAAAATTTGATCACGCCACCAACCAAGAGTTCACCTGCAGTAAAAAAATCAGAGAAGTATGAAAATGAAATTTACCTATTTAATTTGAATTATTGATTTGAAGAATTTGATTTAATAAACGGCAATATAGACTTTTGCGGACAAAGGCCAGAACATCACTTTCAGGTCTGTGGATCAGCTGTTAATTTATTTTTAGTTAAAAATTTACCGTTGACAGTTGACACATTCACATTGGTTTATATCTCAGAGTAATGGCATCTGTACTTTTCCACTTTTTGGCTAATTGATTTCCAGTCCACAAAGATTTTGTGTTCTCGGAAGATTGGATTGCTCAATTTTTATTTTCATAATAATGTAGTTTTTATTTTATAATTGTAAAAAATCGGGGTCATAACACAGGCTCTTGTATCATTCTAATGTCTTGACAGTAATTTTCAATGTTTAATGACTACAAATTTAATTTTGTCTGTTATATACTGCTCATTTTTGTAGGAAATCAGTTCCAAAGACTGAGCCCACACCGGACTCCAAAAAAATGAAAGCGACGCCCAAAGCACAATTGAAAGAGGAGAAAAAAGGCGAGCAGTCTCCAAAACCGCAAACTGAAGCGACTACTCCCACCTTACCATCTGCTTTAGCTGGTAGTATGCATGCTTGAATTTAGAAGATTTATTTTTGTTACCATCAAATTAGATATTATTTAACTGTTTTAAAGTGAATAGAGTTCAGCTAGTTTACCTGAGAAAATAAGAGTCTAGGTGCTAATAGATACACAATAAGAAAACACAAACCTTAACACTGATATCAGAAGGAAATATCGATGCAATGTTTAGCTATGCAATGTTTAGCCATGCAATCAGCCTCTGAACTCAAATTTTCTCAGGTATGCTAGTTTCCTTTAAAAAAAAAACAAAATCCTAACCAGCCAAATGGCTTTCTTTTAAAATAGAATATAAATTATTATTTTTAATATCTTTAAGTCGGCAACCAATTCTTAATTTTTTTGCTGTTGAATAATTTTTGAATAAGGATTAGTTTTACATGTGATACCGTAAGCTTTGTGTAGTTAGTTATGCTACTTTTTAAGGTCAGCTGGGCCATTTTGTACAGCCAAATTTGTATACACATCTCAAGCAGGGTGTCTACCAACCGGGAAATCCGGGAAAACCGGGAATTGTACTTAATTTTTTACTGGCCATGAAATGTACGGGAATTGTCCTTAAATTCCAGACTATGTCCTTAAATTTTTAATGGGCCATAATTTTCTTGATCGCTAGTTGGTTAGGAGCACATAAAAGGTTTATCAGATGTTTGTTTACATTTTCATAATTTATTACTAGAGTAATTATGCAATAAAAATCCCATTAGCAATCTCAAACCCATTAATACAGTCTAACCTTGATATAACGAACCTCGATACAACGAATTCCTTGATATAACGAATTTTTTTAAATCCCCTAGAACTCTCCATAAGACACAATGTATATTTTACCTCTACATAACGAACAAACCATAACAACGACCTTGATTTAACGAATTTTTCATGGTTTCGGCTAAAATAAGACACCTCAATATAGCGAATTTATCATTGTCAGAACCTCTACATTGCGAATTTAACCTCTGCATAACGAATTGTCTACGTCGTTCCCTCGATATAACAAATCCCCCACCCCATTATTGTTTGTGAAAAATCTGTTTCTTTATCAAATGAAATAGAAAGGTGACGTCATCGCTTGCGCTAACATTCGTCTGCTCAGTTTTACACATCTCTGTCTGCTGTCGCTGCGCGCTATGTTGCAACTGAGAACTGATTTCATTCACTGAGGACTGATGACGACGTAATGTTTAGTAAGCTGTGATTGGGCGATAAGTAACTATGGTGAATTGTACAATTTTTGGATAAAGAGAAACCTAAGAAAGAATATAAAAACAAAACCAAAGATAAAGAATAGCAACATCGTTATTTTAACATTCCTTTTTCGAGTGTTTTTATTATCTTTAAGTTGGCTGGCTATGATTATACACTTTTATAATGACTTATCTAATAATTTATGGTTTGTAATACGATTTGTTTCAACTAGCAACACCAATGCTATAGTTAATGATTATTATTGACATTCCTCTGTTGTGATAAATCAGTACCTTACTGTAAGTAGCCTACCGGCCTATCACGAGCAGTAGCTTACAAAACTTTCTACTACTGTTTTGTTTTGTTCTTTACATGGTTTATGACTACGCAATACAGTGTTTGGCTAGGTTTTAGGAGGGTTAGAACAAGCTATGATTTTAAACTTACAGCTTTTAACCTGTACCAAGGTCAATGCCATTGTCATGATTGCGCAATATTCAAGATCCTTCCCCTTTATTATGCCGGATAATTTAGGTTCTACTGTACAATGTAAACACTGTACTGTAAAGTATTGTAGCCTATGCTACTTTAATTGTGTTTAATGATGTCTAATCCCGACCTATATTGACCGACGCTGGTTCTGAACCTCGACTTAGCGAAATTCCTGCAAACATAACCTCTATATAACGACCCTCTTTTTAACGAAATCCTTGATATAACGAATATTCAGTTCGGTCCCTTCAGATTCGTTATATTGAGGTTGGACTGTATTTTATCACGACAATCAAGTATCAAGTCAAGTACTTCCAAGAACTGTTGACTCAGTTAGCTAGCTCATAAAAGTTGTATCACTTTTATTCCTTTACAACTTCTTTTTTTATTACTACTGTAGGTCTTATTATGAGATTATATTATGAGGAATTATTATGAGATCCCAAACCTATTTTATCGTGAAAATAATAGCTTTATAATGGCTGTTAAATTTCACTTCTTACTTGTACTTGGCTTGAAGATTCAATTTGCCGTGCCATTGCCTATAGTGCCATAAAACTGTTTATGGTTTCATATTAAACATGTAAATAATCTACAGTCTTATTTTGTAAGTTAACCCCTTTTTTATGGATATTTTATCTTTCAATTGACAAAACCACAAGCATTGTTGTTTCCATTAATGTTTTATCACTATGTAGGCCTGCTTGGATTTTATGTCATTGCATTTTCTGTATCTTTGTCTTATATTGTTGGCTATTCAGGTTTCAATGTTTTTTGTTTCCCATATATTTATTTATTGAGTTGTATGCTTTAAGCTATCTAAATCTTATCTAAATCTATATCTAAATGAACTAGAATGATGATAGTGACTTTGCTGCTATTATAACCTCATTGTTTGTTAACCAGTTTATATAGGCCCTCCTAAATAATTAGGCCTAGGCCTGGGTATTTTGATTCTTGAAAGAGCTGTAAAATATATTAAGAAAATGTAATTGACCCTAGATAAACAACTAATGATTGCTATGTGTCGATATTAACTTTGCAAATGAAAATACAATAATCTTACTCTGTGCTTTATTGCTTATTAGTAGCCGCTTACCATACCTTGATTTTGTACTAAGAACTGAGTAACAATATGCATTAAAGATTTTTTTTCAAAAGTAGTCGAGAGCCTAACGTTGTGCCAGGGCGAATCATGCCAAATTAATCCGCCTGGATCGGATAAGCTATGTTATGAAGTTTACGTCACCGATGGAAATATTTGTCGCTATTGCAGGAGACAATGATTGCGTTTCTCTGTTACACTATTAAAGCTTTACCTAAAGTATAGGTAGGCCTATGCTTGTTTACTTTCAATAAATTTCTATTTTGAAATTTTTAACTCTTGGGCTATCTATTATTATTTACTTTTCACCGGTACAACTACAGTTAATAACAAGATTAATACAGTTTGACAAATCAGGAAAATTATTCGGTAGGCCTAATGACACCGACAAAGGTTACGGCAAAGTGTCCTTAAATGTACGGGAATTGTCCATGAATTTTTTATCCAGAATGTAGTAGACACCCTGACATCTCAAGCTATTGCACTTCCTTGCTAACTAAAATTGACTAAAAAACCTGTATGTTTAGAGCTTCGGACTCCTGATGGTGGTTACACATGCTGCGGGAAGTCGTTCAGGAAAGAAAACCTTTTTCAAGTAAGTTCACAAAAAAATATAAAATCTCCTGTCTAATCTTCACATTATCTACTAGCACTAAATAAGCAATAATTAATACAACACTAAATAACTTACTTTCTTATTCTTACTCCCTTGGCCATGGATACTAGGGTGGGCTGGAAAATCATTAATTTTTTTTAGTTGTAATACCTTGGAAAAGTTGCTAAATTGTAAAACCAAAATAGGGTAAAAATATTTAAAATATTGGTCATTATCTTCGGGTTGCGCATGTTCTCTAAAGTTTGAACAACATTTTTTTGAATATTTAATAGTTTAAAATGTCATCTGCAAGACATTAAGGAATTGATATTTAAATAATAGTATTGTATGTTAAGATCTTCCGGTCTCACATCAGCTGTAAATATTGCGAAAAATCAAGAAAAATTTCATTTTCGTACTAGACTTATTTGAAAAATAATTATCGATATGAAAATGTAATACCAAAAATCTGCTTGTAAACGTTCAGATAGTAACTTAACAAAAACAACCGACAAAGTCAGAATTGATCTTCCTGTCATCATATATCAATATGATATATGTTGCGCACATAGCAATACAAACTCACTTAAACGCAGTTTTATCAATGTGATTTTGAAGTTAAAGTTTCCGAAATTGAACAACAGTATGGTGATGTTAATGTTTCCCTGTGCTCACCAACTAAAACTGATGATTGTAGTGACAGTAACCTAGAATGTTTACCTGAACTTCCAAAAAAGAAGTCCCCTGAGAGGCAAATGAGGATTAAATTTGACTGAATTGGTTAGTGATCGTTATGGTGTTTCCGATCGTTCTACAACTGCAATAGCCTCTTGTGTTTTGCACAAAATCGGCATAGTCACTAGTTCTGACAATTTGCAATATTGCAATTAAGATAAACTGCGAAAAACACATAATAGCCGCTGGTGAGCCATCACATTTCGAACAAGTGAAGGGGATATTACCCCCTGTTCACGAACCTTGTAATATTAAAAACACGACTCTGAGCTTGGAATATTCCCCCCTAGTTTTATAACCAATGTTAACTTGAATTGTTGTGTTGTACATTTATTATTTTATTAGTTATTATATTATAGTTTGTTCTCTTTTTTTAAATGTTCATGAGTATGAATAATTTTACGCCTGGATAAGGTATTTGATCACTTTTGCCCCCCTAGATTTTTTATTAAAAAAACTATTTCCTTTTAGGACATAGCTAACTGTTGTTATAAGGGGGTTGTACTTTTATGTAACGTCTAATTGTGTAGGTTACATGATTTACTTTGTGACTTCGTCTGATACATCATTTTATCAATTTAGGCACAGTTTCTCATTTTATTTTCTAGCTATTAACAATTATATTTAGAAGATACCCCGCCGCAGCAAACCTGCAGACTAAGAGAATTACAACTTGAAATTCGCAAAAAAATTGGGTTATTTGAACTGAAATGCTTTTATACAAAGTAATTGATTGTAATTTACATACTTCACAGGAAATTGTTATAATGTTTAATTTAAGTATAATTTTAGTGATGTTTTGTGGCAGATGCACATGAAGCACTACCATCCTGAGTACAGTAACTTTTTTGGCTCGACACCCAATGTGGCTGACCTGGCGTATGCTCGGACAGTGGGCGAACCCTTAGAGGACTCTAGGGCGGAGGCTATGACCCCAAAGAACACGCTGGCTGAGCGAGTCTCCAGGTACGTGGGAAAAAATAAAGTTATTTTTTTAAAAGAAAAAGCACAAGGCTTGGTAATACATTAAGGGAGATAGAATTGGAACACAGAAAAAAGAGCTATTTCAGAGAAAAGTGGTAGACAGCTAAGTAGTAGTAAGCACTCTACTTGAAAACTAGATTTGATCCAAAACCGAAAATCACACTTTTTGGATAAAAATACTCGATCTTAGAGCAAAGATTCTTTTACATTGGAATTTGTTTTGGGGCTGGATTATTTTTGGACGTTTGCCAATCACGCCAAGCATCTGTCAAGATTAAGCATTCATATTACTGTGGACTTTTTGTATTTATTGGGAGTAATTCACATATTTACTAACACTACTACACTTAACTATACACGGTGTTTTTTTTTAAGCATCTTTATTTATGTATAAACTGCAATAGATAGAAATATGGAGTTTGCGGGAACCATTTTGTAGAGCTTAAAAAAAATTAATAATTTTGTATATTGAAGTGTTGCCCAACGGTTACAGAGATAATTTAAAAAAAATTAAAATTTAAAATTTCCACGTTGGAGAATAAATAAACTGTTGTAGTTTGCTTGTTTATGGATATATTTTAATCAAATTTGGCAACTTTGTTTATTTCCTACTAACCTATCAACATTTCAATAAAAAAACACACGTCAATATCTTCCCCATAGCAGCAAACCTAAGTACTCATTAAAATTAATGTTATTTAAATAGGAAATAAATCTGACAATTTTTAAGGATTATTTTAGTAGAAATCCTGCCAGGTAAATGAAAATTCACTTAGTCTGCAGGTTTGCTGCGGCGGGGTATTTTTTATTGAACAAGCATGCCAACTAGTCACACCATTGAAAAATGCTTGTTTAAGGAAATTTTTTGTAAATTTTAGAAGCAGGGCGATTATTGAAGCTGAAGGAGTGTGATTTTCGGAAAACGCTGAAGAGTGCTTGATCGGACCATGAGAACGTGGTTTTACAGAGGATTTTATGGGGTAAAAATTGGTTTTTCTAATTCAAATTTTTGACCCTCAAGACACAAAATTTTCCAATTAATTTATCCCTAAACCATTTTAAAGAGCTTAAAAAAACAAATAATTTAGTAAATCAAAGTGTTAATTGTACACTCATTGGTTATAGAAAAAATTAAAAATATTGTAAATTTAAAATTTCTATTTTATTCTTATGGAGAATATTGTACAGCTCGTGACATCTAAGCTGGCACTTGGCCGATCGCTACTAGTACCTATTTCAAAAACATTACGTCATGCTGGTTGCATTACCTGTCCTCACGACCCATATGTAGGCGCTCAAGTACATAATACAAGGGGAGTCAACCCTGTGAGGCAGCGGAAATGTTTGCAGTCCGGTCTTTCCCTACCTCCACCCTCCTCCCACTTACACTGTCCGCGCTAGGCCATGTGCCAGCTTAGATGTCATGAGCTGTAACGTTTTGTAGTTTGCTTGTTTAGGATATATTATGACCAAACTTGGCAAATTTATTTATTTTATACTAAGATATTATTACTTTCCTAAAAAAACACACTTAATTAGTTTCCTTGTAGCAGCAATCCTAGGTAGCCTACTCGTTAAACCTAACGTTATTTAAATAGATTTAATTGAAAATCAATTCAGGCAAATGGAAATTTGCTTAGTCAGCAGGTTTGCTGCGGCGGGGGTGTTTATTTATCAATCAGGGAACTATTATAGCCATTGGCTACTGCTTTATGTTTTAAAGTATTTACTTTGTCGTTGTAATCAGTTGGACTCATTGGGATGGAGAGTAGGACAAAACTAATTGTATTCAGCTGTTTTATGTTTATATGGGGGATGTGGTAATGAATGAATCGTCTGATCCGTTTGTCGTTGGTTTTCTGTAGATTATAAATGACAATTGGCTGTTGTTTCTGGTAATGGTAACGTCTAGGAAATTAAATTAATGGATTTGGTTTCTTCTATTTCAAGGGTAACTGTAGGTTTTTGTGAATTCTATTCAAGTATGCATGGAGTAGGCTGATTTGTCTCTCGTTGCTGTTGAATAAGATGAGGGTGTCGTCTACGTACCTACTATAGTGGATTATTTTATTGAGGTGTCGGTTAGAATCAGACCAAAGGTGTTTAGTTTGTTTTCTACATGGTTCAGGAATAATTCTGTGAGTATACTTTGAAAGAGGTGAACCCATTGTTAGTCCGTCGTTCTGGATACTTGTTTTCAAATTCAAAATAATTCTTTTTCAGTACACCTCTGGTTAAGATGACTAATTCATGTTTCACCTTCGTTGGTAGTAAGGAATGTTTGTCCAAATTGTTTTTCAGTAAATTCAATGTTTCATTGATAGGAAAGTTCGTGAATATGTTGACGACGTCAAAAGAGGCTAGGATGTATGAATCTTTTAGCTTAATGTTGGTTTAGCTAACACTTAATTAAGTTTGTATTTTTGTTTGCAGGTATGAAGCTGACAAACAAAAGAAAACTCCTGAACCTTCAGAAGGGGCCAGTCCAGGGTAAAAAAACTAGCATTTCTATTGTTTGAATTTGTCCATACGGGATACATACCTTAGAAACTATTCTTATTTATTTTCACGTATCATAATGGCACATAAGCGATTGATTGATCTTAATCAATGACATTGTTTGGTCATTTTATGAGCCATCTGTCTGATAATAACAACATTATAGTTCATTTAGGAGCTATTGGTTTATTTTTTGTAATCACGTTGTAGACAATCAGTAGAACATGTAAAGGATGCCTTGATAGGCACCATAGGTACGTGTGTTAATAAACAGTTTCATATTTTGGTTTCGTTCAATTAAATATAACTACTAACTAGAGAACCCGTGCGGCTCAATGAGCCGCATAGTATAAAACATAATGTCGAGGAAAACGTTATGCTTAAATTCGAGTAATTGTAACTACATCTTAGAAGAGAAAACTTGTTAGAAACTAATTAAAAAAATCTATTTTCGTCGTCAAGGTTCACCTACATTATTTATACTCTCAGTTTGGGTCCGCGGAATTGGCTAACTCTGGAACTCGCTAACCCCATGTTAAACGCCCTATCTTCAAATTTGGTCGATGAGAGGAACTCGCTAACTTGTTCGGTTTCGGAATTGGCTAACTCCGGAACCCGCTAACCCGCTCTAGAGCCGGGTTAGCGAATTCCGTCCACGTACGGAAGTCGCTAACTCGGTCCCTCGGCGGAACTCGCTAACTCCCAATCAGAAGCCTGGCGGGCCGTCCAATGGGAGCCAAGCACGAAGATTTTTGGTCAGTGTTGCCGAAAGTGTAGTACCTATATCGTATCGGTACCATAATGTCGTATCCTACGAATAATTAGGAGTAAGAGCAACGTTGTCGATAAAATAAATATATTTAGAAGTATGTTTAATATTATTCTTATGATTCTTAGGGTGGAAAATGCATTATAGTCTTACCATAAACTAACCAACGAGTAAAATTTACATCCCATTGTAAACTTTGAAGCTAGTTTTTCGTGTCTAGTTCATGTCCGGTGACAATGATCGCTAGTGTCAACGAAATTGTGTTTCTATTAAGAATAAGAATAAGAATAAGAATATTTATTTTCCTTTAGACAAATACATGCATTTGGAATCGTCATAATAATCACAAGGCAAATTCAATAACAATCAACATCATGCTTCTACAAAACTCTCAAAATTTCTACAATAAATAAATAATATATAATAATAAATAATCACTTTATGTTCACAACTAAAACTAAAAGATGCAAGGTCTAATTACACATGCAAGTCAAATAAATATCACATATCAAGAGTCAAAACTTAAAAATAGGTAAACAACTTAAAAATAGGTACTTACGGATGCTGCTGGTATATTAAAAAAAATCATTCCAGGAATACAGTGGGTTGGCCAATAAAAGGTTTCTGAGGTTGGTTTTGAATTTTGAAAAATTCTGGTTTCGGGCTTCACATGGGAGTCTGTTAAAAAATCTTAAACTTAATAAGCTGTGTTGAACTTGACTTTTTCTTAATCTAACAAATGGCACATCAAAAAGGTTCTTATATCTAGTGTCATGCTCATGAAAATCCTCTCTCAAATTAACATCGTCTATCTTACTTTTTAAATTTAATAGGCACACAAATACATATAAACTAAAACATGTCATCAAGCCCTCAGATACAAAAATGGGCTTACAATGATCTGTGGACGTTGCCTCAGCCAGCAGACGTACTGCTTTCTTTTGCAGTAGCAATACACATTTTACATCTGGTGCACTGCCCCATAGCCTCAAACCATATAAAATTACACTTTCAAAAAGGGATTTGTAAGCAGTTTTGACATAATCTTTTCTTTAGGTACACACATTTTCAGGTTTCTGAGCAAGTATAGGATTCTAGACAGCCTACAACAAACTAGATCTATATGACTAGCCCAAGTTAGCCTACTATCCAACACAATACCTAGGACCTTAACACTCTTTGTGTATTATTTTATAGTTAACTTCATTATTTTTTCTTTACTGTTTGTTTATATAACTAGTGGACGTGTTTTTAGTTGTGATTAAAACGTTTCATTTGGTTAAACGAGGTTTTAAATGGCTGAAAACAATAAACAATTGTAAACAAAACACGACCTCTAAAGACAGTGCACCGGACAGAACTAACAATACAACTGTCTTCAGCTGATCCATAAGGATGAGAAATGTACTAATATAAGGGAATATGTTTTATATGTGGGTTTCTTACTTAAATAGTAGTTTATTGGGATGCAAAAATATAATACTGTAGGCCTACATGTAATTTGGATCTTTTACATGTTATGAAATATCTATTTTCGTAGTCCGCCATTTGTTTCTTTTATTCACATAAATACCATTTTGTGAATTTCTGCTAATAAAATTATTAAGTTAGTATTTTTTATACTGGGCTTGTAACCTTGAATCATAAAATTCAATCATAAATCATGATAAAATTTACATGTTAAACATCATTACAGAAATACATTGTAGTGGTAATGTATTTTTAAATAGAGCTATTGAATTTAAATAAATATTGATCAATACATTATAAAGTGGTAGGCCTAATGTATTCATGGATTGCAATAAAAATTAGTCTATGCATAAATACTACTTGTAAATTTCTGTTATCGTAGGCTATTAGTGTAGAACCCGGGTCATCCTCTTAATTTTGTTAAATTAATATTAATTTTACGTCTTTCAGTAGGCCTACTTTTTAAAAGTCTTGAGTGTTTACGGTTCTAAATGGACCCAGGCGTTCTAGTTTGTTACCATTTTTATTAATGGTGGCCATAGCTAAAATTACCTGATCTTATTCAAAAACAAAGCTATTGTCTATTGAGTAGTTTAGTACCGGGGAACGGGGAACCGAGCAATGGCTTGGTATAGTTTATTTCGATTGTAAAAGCAATATAATGAAACCCCACACTCAAATCAGGAAAATCCGTCAAGTCGTTGATTAAGAATCGTGAATTAAAATAACCCTGTCACGTTTTATTATATGAATATTATATCTTCTCCTATTATTTACTAGTGGTGCTTAGGTGTACAATCTAAAAACTGTTTTAAAACATGTAACATTATTACTAAAAATTCAACACATTTTATAATTAGGCAACTATTTACTATTAGGCCTACAATGCTTTGGTTTAAACTATTAGGCGTAGATTTAGGCCTACAGCTATTCTATAAATTGATATGAAACTTAGTCTATGTCATATTTGTACACGTAAGTTGGAAGATTCAACGACGAAAATTTAATTTTAAATCTATGAATTAGGTTTGAAAGTTACGGTGGTTGATGACTGTATTAATTAATGGTTTTGGTTTATTACGACATTACGATTAAATTTGTTTTCCGTGTTTGAGAACTTGCGTGTATTTTAGCTGATTTTCGTAGAGGTTTAATTATTTAGTACCAATTAAACTGAATTTTTAATATTTTTCATATTCTGTTATTTTTTTATACTGATGGCATTTATATTAAAGATCGAAACCATAAACATTTAATTGGCCATTGTACAATTAAACAAAAAAAACACTTTTTCATGATTTTTTTTATTGTCTTTGAATTACTATCTGTTTAAAGTGGAATTGATAACAAAAAACAATAACATTTACTGTAACTTCATTGTCACTGACATTTTGAAATACGGCAGTCTACGATTATTTCGTTGTACAAGGTTGGCAATGCTCCGTGCAGTGGGCGCGGCCGGGTTAGCGACTTCCAGAGTTAGCGAATTCCGCCGCGAGACAAAATCGAGTTAGCGGGTTCCGGAGTTAGCGAATTCCTGACTGAGACGGTTAGCCAGTTCCAGAGTTAGCCAGTTCCGACACACGACCGAGTTAGCGAGTTCCAGAGTTAGCCAATTCCTACGTCTCCTCAGTTTTAACTGATAACTTCTAATAAACGCTAAACGCTCTGCTTCAGTTCGAGTAAACATGTTGCAACAAAGTTTTCTCAACATTGAGAATTGAATATTATTGTTGCCTTACTGATCACCTGTGTAAAGTACTTCAAGTTGGGTCATTTTATTTCTTTGATTTGAGAGATCCCCTAAACCAACAAATTTTATCCTAGAGAACTGGCAAATATTATTCATCTCACCAAGTGAATGTGAATAGAGAGGTGTATCTGTTAGACCAGGCCTCTCTTTTTCTACTCTCGTCATACGCATTAAGCTATCTTATTACATTAATTGTCTCCTCCTCCCTTTTTCAACATTTCTTCTTTGAATTCGAGGCATTTCTGTTCTTCCAACAAAACTGTTTAACTGTTTAACTTGGTTCTGAATATTACAGAACCTAGTGTTACGTCCTGAATATTACAAACATTAATATTTACTCCCATAAGGCTAATGAGTTTCTTTTTATTAACAGCTGTTTTTTGTTTTTAAATTTGTTCAATGTATGTTCTATGTATTGTTCTTTGATTTTTTTAGAGGGTTTCACAACCTTAAGGGTAGGAATTTTTATTATTCTAAAACCTTATTGCAAAACTAAATATTGAGACAAATCTTTTGACACTTTAAACGTTGAAATCGGTCCACTAATAAGAATATAGATTCCCCTTCGGTATATATTTTCAACTTAAATTTAACATTTCAGTTGACAATAAAGAGTGGAGATGACATAATTTATGTTGTCTATTTGACTTTACCCACATGTGGAGCTATTTGATTCTTAGCTGGCCTTAACATCAAAATTTTTGCCACTGGGACTAAAAACACATCAGTAAGCATGGGTTGGACCATAGTATATAAGGCTAATCCATTGAATTGAAATTGGTGCATATGTCCATATATGTTTTGCATTAATTTTGAAGGCTGTCTAGCGTGTCTACCAAACACCAATTTCTTACTGCGGATCATAAAAATATAAACTCTTTTTATATTTAAATGCATAATATATAAAAATGTAAACACGTTCATAGATTGAAAATCAAGATCGTCAAAGATTCAAATTCAACAATGAAAACAGAGATGGTCGAGGAACCAAAGACTTTGGAAAAAGAGGTGATAAAGGAAGAACAACCAGTTCCAGAATCTAAAGAAGAAGGAATAGACAAAAAAGAGGAAGAAGAAACAAAGGAAGTAGCTAAAGAAACGGATGAAAAAAAGGCTGAGTCGCCAAGTGAGGTGAGATTCTGATATAAGAATATTCATTTAATTCTGAAAACATTTTTAATGTTAACAGACCAGATTATTTATATTTTCATATTAAAAAAAAACAAAAAAAACTATCTACCGTACTTTCTAATCATTTCATCAAGTCTAATTAATAGATTTGGTATTTTCAACATTAGTCAAGTTTTTTTTCATTTCTGATAGAAATTGTATTTCACCAGTTTTCAAGCAATTAAGAAATTTAAAATTCAACCAAGAATGTAACCACGGTTTGTAGTTAGGCAATTAACTAACCCTTCCCGGACAGCAAAATCGTGATATAGGACGGGAAAAATTATAGGAAAAAATAAAAATTAATTTTCCTTAGGCCTATTTGTGTTTTGTTATACAAGTATACATAAAATAAACACAATAGAACACTTCATACTGTCAAAATAATTTTTTTACTCTTTTTTAAATATGCGGTTATATCCGCTACCCGTCCGCGGATGAGTAGAAAAGCAGCGGATATTTCCGCCACTCGTTTTAGAAGATATGACCATGACAACGTTAGGCAATAAATAAAGAACAATATGTAAACAATAAATAAAGACAACGTAGTGTTGAGCACGAAACGTCGAGGGGGAGCGTTGGAGAGGTGGGTGGTGCGAGGGGAGAGGGTGAGGAGCGGGAGAGGGTAGGCGCGTGAGAGAGGGGGGAGTGCGGGAGAGAACGCAGCCATGGCAGGAAAGTGGCGCCTTGGTACCGCAAAACATCTGGTTAATGCTCAAGCACCTGCCAGTCTGTCTGAAGAGAAGGCGGATATATCCGCTTCCCGTCCGGAACATCAAAAACCATAAGCGGATATATTCGTCACCCATCTGGGAAGGGTTAAACATCATTTTTGCAATTTGACTTCAGAAACCAACCAAACCAGGGTTTGGAAGTGTTTAGCATATGGATGATAAAAATAAGCAAATTTAATATTTATTTGAATTGTATTACAGTCAATCTATCCTGTGTAGATGCAGTGTCTAAAGCTGTTATGTATTGAAAAGTAATAGATCTATAAAACAAGTTGTGTGGTTCCAAGGAGGCTGCTCATAAGGGATCAGATAAGACTCATAAATAAACACATGCAGACAACACTAACAAAATTATGTTTATTCATTTGTCTTGTTCTGTCTCAGATACAAAATAATTCAAATCATTACTAAAACCTCCCTCAAAATTCACCACAAAATTTGATGTTTTTGGACCTGGCGGTGTACTTATGAGTTAAAAATAACTGTCGCCAACGGCTACTGTACAGGGTTATTTTACTTAAGTTAATATACAATTAAACTAAAGTTTGTCAGTTACTTAAATTTGTCTCTTGGACTTAACAGTAGTTATTTGTGCAGCTAGTGAGCAAAATAGCATTTTTTTCAAAGAGGACGAAGTTGATGCTTAAGACTAAAAAAAAAAAAAAACACTAACACTTAAAAATAAAACAAATTTGAAATTATTATTTCTATTTTAACTTTAACATGAAAGAATTTATTTAATCAACATATTTCTGATTTCCTGTTGATTATTATTCAATTAAAATAAACCTAGCCTACATTTTGTCATGTTCAGTTGTAATTGGAAGTAAGGAAAAGCAGTGAAAAAAATATTGGGCAAAGTTAAATGTTTAAATCATCTGTTTGACACGCTTATACCAGGAAACAAAACTTTGTAGGACAACTGAGGAAAAAACTAATTTGATTCAACTGTCAGGTACCTCCTGACCAAAGCGAGGAAGGAGAGATTACAACTGAAGATAGCCCGGAAAATGAAACTAGTGCCGAGGAGGAAGAGCCGTCGGAAAAACCAGCCTCTGTTCCTGATACTGCACAACTACCACCACCACCGACCCCACCCCCTGCAGTACCTCCCCCCTCATCATCCACCTCACTGCCTGTCATCAAACCTGTCATCTCCAAGGTAATTTACACTTAAATACAATAGGCCTACAGTCAAGGGCAATTTTAAAAAACAAATTATAGAAGCTGTAAGTCTTGGAAAATGCATCACACCTTTGTTGTTGATGTTGTAAATCAATTTTAATATAAATTGACCAACCCGCACGACATCACTGACTATGGGTTCTTCTTAGTCCTTTACTCTACCCTTTAAGCTACTAGTTCACCAATTTGAAATCAGCTATGAAAATTGATATAAATTCAAAGTAAAATCTAGGTATAAAAGTGCAACTTATCTGGTTACTATTTATCTCCTAGGTTGGATCGTCAGAAGCAGTGATGACGACTTCCTCTCCCAAGACTCCTATTACCATCACCAAGTATGTTCCGCCCGGCCACACCAAAAGTGCATCCGAGAACAAATCTCTCAAGGTACAAACACCTTCCCAGCGTAGCATGTAACTTTGGTTGCAGCTAGTAAACTTATTGAAAAGTCCTATTTTGATATTTGATTCATGTACGAAAAGACCTATTTTGATATGTGAATCATGTACGAGGGTTGTTTTTTAAGTAAAAAAGGGGCTATTTTTGCGTAAAACTCTGTAGTTCACGTGTATGCCGAAATAAGGGGGCTCACCACTTACTGGAATCATTGGTGAACAGAATGGCGCTGTTCAAAGCTCGCTGTAGCTGATGTGCATGCTTCATTGTGTGTTAAACAAGTTTTTAAAATGATTGAATCTCCCATGCATGCAAGATAAGGTCAGTGATATTTTTTGACTGCAAGAAACATATCAGCTGCAGAAGTTCATCGCCAGATGACGGAAGTTCATGGCCCTAATGCATGATAGAGGGTCTAGTACAAAAAAGGGTTAGGAAGTTTAAATTAATAATGGCCATGAAAATGTCTATTTTGTAAGGAATTGTGTTTTTTGTGCACCTTCCCCAGACTTCTCACAGTAAAAGGAAAGAGGAAAGAGGTTTTCATGGCCATGAAAAAACTTGCCAGATTCAAACCATCAAAAAGCTTCTGACTTCTCAGGATCTAACCAGCAACTTCTGACGGTCAGGAAAACTACACTATAACCACTCATCTATTCAGCTTTACTAAACAGGCAGGGCCACCCCGAGGGTGGACGCCCGGGGCGAGATTTAAATTTTCACCCTCTCCCCAAAAAAGGTATTTGGAGGGTTTGCGTCAATAGACCCAATGTCCAATATATCGATATCAAACGTTTTGCAAGTATTTTTTACAAACATAACAACTACACTGAACAAAATTACTAAAAACATTGAATTTACGACTCACAATGGACATCACAAAACGACTATGAGTTGACGTAAGAGTTTGAGCTTTGAGGTTAGAAACAAGCAAGTGTAGGTGGGGCGTGTGGTAACACAGTGTGTGTGTCTCGGACTCATAGTATTGCCACCAAGTCATATGCCTGACGTAAAAGTAGTAATAGTAGTTGTATATTAAATAAAGTTATTTGTTTTATGAATAAAACGAAAGCTATAGATTGCCTTTTTTTAAAATAGTCTTTGTCATTGATTACATGTTTACGAGTTTCCCGTAAAATATTTGTTTGCGGTTTGCCGATAACGAAAAATTTTTTACCTTCCAAAAAAAGGTCGCCCCGCTCGCTTCGCCCTCAAGGCGGCCCTGTTAGCAGGCCCCAAGTAGGTTTTATGAATTGGTGATTTAAAGGTTATAGAGCAAGAGAAGCTTTATGAAGGAAAACAAGTTTTATGGGAGCACTATGCAGTAGTTAATTTTCTAAAAAAAAAATAAAACTGAATATAACTTATCAGCTTGGTAAAAAAAACAGAACAGGACTAAGTTTAAGTTTAAAGTTCTATGTTATTGGATCAATTTATTACGATTTTCTGCTTGTGTATGCTTTTTGGAAATGAAGACATTTTGATTGGATCTGTATTTATTTACACAGGATGTGTGTTTCAGGTCACCATTTCAGACAAAGAATGTAAGCCTACAATTAAGACATTGTTGCCAGTTCGACCCCCTCCCCCAGCTGCACCAGCCCCTGAACCAACCATAGCTGAGCCCCAGAAACCTAAGGAGGTCAAGTAAGTGGATTTAGATTATGATTGAAATCTCTTAGAAGCGTAGAAAATCAGTTTTATTAAATAATATAATAGTGGCCTAATTTATCAGAAAACTTTATTCCTTGAAGTCTAGCGTAGGAATTAAAGGTTGTGTTTCCGGTATTACTATCAGATCAATATGTAAAGGTGTTATTGTCTACAATGGTTTCATACTGCAACAATTTAAGCACCTCGTTTGGAAAAAATCCTTTAGGACGGAGTTTATTGATACTGTAGTTTTAAATAAGACATGTCATAATTCAGGATTGCAAACAAATCTAAAATATATTGTTAATAAATATTGTTAAAAATTAATATTGTTTGTCACGTGTTATTATCAATATAATTTTCCCCAAAGGCTTCTTCTTTTTACATTTATTATGTGTAGTGAGATTTATTGTAAGTTTATGGTCGCATCTATTTCCTGCATTGACAATACACAACACAGAGACATATAGAGAACTAATTTTTAAACTCTCTACTCTACCATCGTCACATTGAATATTTATCATGCTAATGTATGCTTTGTTTGTAACAAACTTTTCTATGATTAATCTTTTGCATATCAGGTATTAAAACAGACTTTTAAAGAGTAATGAAATTAGTTACATATAAACATAGTTAAACTAACGTTTGGCAATTTTACTTGGGTAAATTATTACGAATTCTGAAAGAAAGTCAGAACAAATTAGCAGAGGTTTGAGGGTAATGGTAAGCTATTGGTGACTGCAGCGATAAATGCGGAACTGAAGACTCAAACCAGTCCCTCGGTTATTCCAGTCTCTCTTAGTCAGCCTAGACTCTAGCTCTGGGAGATGTATTCTTGGGGTAGCGGATTTTTATGCCCCTGGAATTTTACCCCCTCGGCAAACGTGATGTCACAAACCATTTGCGACATCAGTTTGATGGGTTAACCGCGGAATTAAACGTATATTTTCACGGTTGTTAATTTAATCAGAACACATCAAATTATAAAAACCTAGAGTGTACGGGCCGGAATTTTACCCCTGTACTTTTACCCCCTTCATGAGGTCAGCTCAAAATGTACGGCCCGGATTTTTACCCCCGGAATTTTACCACCTGGAAATTTAATAGGAAACATTTTATTGTTAAGGAGCCTATCTTAATTTATTTGTAACATCAACTAATCGAACAGGTTTTTGATTTTAATTTTGAGATTAGAGTATCAGGATTCAATCATGAAGCCAAATATTGGTTAATATGATCAAAATTAAACAGAGCATTCTGTTTACTTAGTTGAGATTACAAAATAAATAAATCAAGATAGGCTACTTTTTTTAAAATGTTTCCAATTAAATTTATAAAAACAATTTCCAAAACAAATTCCAATTCAATTTATACAAATTAAATAAAAACAGAAATAAGAAAACAATCATTCTTAAATCAATCATTCTTAATAATTTCTATATCCGGCCAGGGGGTTAAATTCCAGGGGGTAAAAATCCGGAGGGTAAATTTTTGGGGGTAAAAATCCAGCCCATACATCTTCAGTTGTCTAAACGCTAGTAATATGGACAGGAGGTAAAATTCCGGTTTTTATTGCTAATCTAATTAATCACCCTCTATTTTCATTATACTTCCAAATCCGCGGGGGTAAATTCCGCCCGCGAACAAACTTTTGAGCACTCAGGTTACTACGTCATAGTGACGTCAGCTTTGCCCAGGGGGTAAAATTCCAGAGGGTTAAAATTCCGGCGACCCGTATTCTTTAAGGTCACATTACAAAACTTGACTAGTCTTGGTATTTCCACAGAATAAAAGAAGAGTCAGACGAAGAAGCTTCAAGCTCTCAAACACCAAAGTCGAGGCCTCGCAAGCGGACAGTGTCGGAGCCGATGCTGAAGAAACCCAAACTATCCAAGGCAGTCACAGGTGCTGTTCATATTAAAATTACATAAAATAATATCTCATTTAAACCAAAACCACATAGCCATCAAAGACCAGCTATGCTTATACTATAAAGATGCAGAAATACTCACAGAAATACCATCAAAGGAAAGGAGGTAGTCACTGAATTTATGATTCATATTCTGAATCTTTGACCTACTGGCAGATTGTGTGTTATTCTCCATTCCAGCCTTGAATAGTTATACATACTATCCACTCATATAAGTTGTGCAGTGTCCAATAGAGCTTCTATAGAAGGTTTATTCTGTCCCGCCCCAATAACAAGTCAGGTCAGGGGAGGGTCCTCCCAGGAGGAGCCTAATCAGGGAGGAAAGTTTACTGTTGCAAAGGCGAGAGGAAATGAGAACTTGAAAATTAAAATGTATTCAAGCAATTACTTGTTCAAAGTTTAGTAATTTATTCTGAAAAATGTAGGCTAACATTGATGCAACAATTTGATCAACAAGTCAATTTGAAAGATTAATCTAAACACTTTTCAGACTCCCTGGAAGAAGAGGCAGCTGTCGCAGCTGAGCCGACCCCATCCACCAGCTCAGGGGCTGGTACACCTGGTCCGTCGAGTTCCGGATACAGGTTCTCTCGCAACCGGACGCCGGTGCCTCGGGTATCTCTTGAGAAACTTAATGTAACACATGACAGCAAAGGTGAGCAGCTACATGGCTAACTGATCAGACACTAAAACCATTGCCTATTTTGGCCAGTTGTAGCTATTTCTTTAATTTAAAAAAGAAGAGAGTTAAATGAGCCACTCACAGAGTATGTTATAACCTAAAATTATATTCTCTCTCTTAGTTTTTGCTAGTTGATAGTTGATGTGATATAAAATATACTGTACCTTACAGTAAGTCGTTCTATCACTCTTATAAAGTGGACTTGGTTATTAAGTCAGACCTTGACAAATCAGAGATTTACATCAGTGCACCAAGTTGGTGACTCAATTTTACTATGTTTCTATTCTGTTGATGAGCCATTGAGTTTATAAATTGTTAATTCAGTTTGGCTTGGTTAAATACTTGGCCTGTTCAACAGACATCCGTAATGTACATCAGCCCAACCTGTTAGTGACCCACTGAAACTGGCTACAACTTATCATTGGAATAAAATAAATAAATAAAAGCAGGGTGTCCACATTGTGGAAAGTCTGGGATAGTCATGTAAAGTCATGGAAAAAAATTCTGGCCATTGAAAGACATGGAAATAGGAAAAAGGCATGGAAATCCCCAATGATGGATGGATTTGAAAGGACTTTTCAATGCTCTAGTTGGCCGTAATCCCGACTATTGTTGCATTTTTCAGGATTTTTCACAAATTTACGACAGTTCAATTTATTACTGTTGTATTAGTTATGAGTTTTGAGTTTGTATTAGTTCAATACAATCTGTCCCGTCCCTACTTTATTTTATAATTTAATTTAATATTTGTAGGATATTGTTGCAACAGCACTGTATATTAATATGTTACAACTTTGTTATTTTATTACAACTCAAATTGCAATACAAATATTGTAATAATTTTTTGAGTTGTCTTAAGTTAAAACTCTTATGTCTTTTGAGAAAAACTGTAAATATTACACATAGGGCCACAACCAAGAAAAACTTATTTTGTTCTTTTACCTACAACCATTGACTATTGGATACTGAAGTTGTATAATAGTCAAAGCTACCACATTAATTTTTATCTGCATTAGCCATATTTGAGAGATTAACTCAATGATTTTTAAAATGTAGGGTTAGGTTTGTGAAACTTAAATTTAAATTTAACTTAAATCTATAAATTAAGACTAAAATAAGGTGAATGTTGTTACCTTGTCTGCAGTTCCAAAATTATAGTTTGTACTTCAGTTACATGTTTCGGTTCTTGTCGAACTGTTAGTAAAGGAACATCAAAATCCACTTATTATAGCTTCGTCAGGTAGACATGTAGTTCACATACTCACAACGACACATACACGATGACACATACGGATGAACAAAAGACATTTATGTGGGCCTACCGATTCAAACGATATTGTTTAACTGATATAAAAACTCAGGCACTCAGAACAATTAATTTTGTATATGCATGTAGAATAATTTTAATCACTACGACTGTTTAAATGTCCCAGACCCAAAAACAGACCTCCAAAAGTCGCCATTTGCCCAACACTTAATTGACAATAATCATGATTTATATGACATAAACATCGGTCTGAAAGTTCTACACCACTGCCATAAGAGCCCCAAAATGAACGTGCTAGAAGACTAGAAGAGTTTAAAAATTTATAAACATCTAAAAAACCAGAATTTGAACAATTTCATCCTGAACGACAAACTCCAGTTCCAGTTAAATTATATTTTTAACGCCTTTCTAAAAAAAAAAAAAAAAAAAAAAAAAAACAACATATCTACAACCGCTGACCACCGGCACACTGATAAGGAAGACAAAGGAGCAGATAATTCTACTCGACTCACCTCGCAGTCTGTTCCTGCTCGTGGTCGCGACAATGTCATCAGAATCGGTAGGTCTAAATTTAAATGTCTTTTATTCGTCCGTATGTGTCTTTCTTTATACATGTGTCGTCGTGTGAATGTGAACTACATGTCTACCTGACGAAGCTATATTAAGTGGATTTTGATGTTCCTGTACTACAACAGTTCTACCGAAACATAATATGTAACTGAAGTACAAACTATAATTTTGGAACTTCAGACAAAGAAATAACCTTCACCTTAGTTTAGTGTAAATAGCAGTTTCGGGGCTACAACAATGGATTTTAATAAATTAAGATACTATCAACCTTATGAATTTTGCTTTATAATTCACAACTTGTTAGTGAATTGTAATCGTATGTTTTGACTGAAGAAATTTACCGTATAGTTGTATTTTTATTAATTTATTTTCAAGTAGCACAGTGTAAGGATAATGCATTAATAATGTATGAATAGAATATTTTTGCAAATAAAAATGAAGTCACATTTAGTTAATTGTAAGTCACTTTAATTAATAATCATTATCTAATAAAAAAAAAAAACATTATTTATACAATTGTATTTATATTAAAATAAGTTTTTATTTTATTTTATTCTACTTCTATAAAAAAGAACACACTACTATTATTATTTTATATGACTTCATTACACGATTTAAGTCAGTTTCTTCTGATGGTCATTGCTCATCCATCTTTTCTTAGACCAATATTAATTTTTTTAGTATTGACATTAATTTCCTTAATTCCTCTGGAATTTCTGCCCCTTTCCTTTTTATCTGTTGACCAATCAACCCAACAATACTAAAATTTGTTTATAATTTTTATTTATTTTTAATGTTTTAACCATGTTTAAATAAGTTTTGTTTTATTTTTTCCTCCAGGACGCGTAGTTGTCGCACCAGTTGAGGAAAACAATAAAACTGACAATACCGAGAGTAGAAGACATGTAAAGAAATTTAAAACAGCAAATAACATTAGTAAGAAACCAAAAGGTAGTATTATATTCAGTAAGGTAGATCAAATTTACATTTTTGATATTATTTTCTCATCAATTTTAGTAAATGTTCCAGCAATATCATAGTTTCTTTAGCTATATTCTAAGGAAGAAGCTCTGTGGCTGAATAAGCATTTTAAGGGATAAGAGTTTAGGTAGCTTAGCTGAGAAAATTTTAGTTCTGGAACTTTCTAGACAATTCATACCCCCGAATAACACTGGAAGTCCAAATTTAGGACGTCTACAGGAGTAGATTGATGAGGAATGCTATCCGAGTTTAGAGGATGACTATAGCAAAAACAAATATTTGTCAACTATTGTTGTTAGTGAAAATAGTGTTGGTCAAAAACTATTACATACGGAGTGAATGCAGATTTTTTTCTGCATACATTGGTAAGGAAGATGATAACAAAATTAATCTCAAATAAAACCATAAAACTTTTTCAAAGCATTGTACACTTGTAAAACCAGTTAATGGCAACAAAAGTTAATTGGTAACACTGATTACATTTGTGACCACAGTTTGTGGTTAATAAGGCTAAAATTGTTTTATAAAATAAATATATAGGATGGAGAGGACACAGCTAACTCACCTGATGAAAGGTTGCAGAAGAGTCAAAGAACACATAAAATCACACACATAATAATACTTAATATTTCGCCTCTTTCAGAGGCTTCTTCAGAAGTAGGCCTAGATGGTAGTTACAAGAACAACAGCGGTAGTTACAGAAGAGACTTGTAAACTGTTGTTCTTGTAACTACCATCTAGGCCTACTTCTGAAGAAGCCTCTGAAAGAGGCGAAATATTAAGTATTATTATGATGTGTGTGATTTTATGTGTTCTTTGACTCTTCTGCAACCTTTCATCAGGTGAGTTAGCTGTGTCCTCTCCATCCTATATATTTATTTAATCCAAGCTAAATGTTTTTTCCTAAAAACATAAAATTGTTTTATAAAATTTACCTCGATGATGCTGTAGATATTTTGAAAATATAATTTTAATTTTGAAATCTGCCTTAGTTCGATCATTGAGTTGCATTTTACTCTTTAGTTTTTAAAAACCCATTATTTTTTATTTTAGTTGATGGAGACATATACTAATACTAATAAAAGATGCTATAGTTAAAACACCTCTTCAGTTTGCCATATTTAAAAGTTTGATGTGTAAAATGAAAACAGTATTTTTCAGCAGTATAATGTTAGTTATTAAAATAAAATAAGATTTTAAAGTTTAAAACTAGCTGAAACTTTAACATGGGTGTGAAATGTTTTCTCTTTATGGGAATATAAATAAAATGGAAGTTGACTATCTGATAAAAAATAATGCTGCAAAAATTACATGCCTAATAATTTAACTAAAATTTTTATAATAACATGAAAAAGCTCATAAGACGAAGAACACAAAATGTATAATAATAATATATCTCTTTGTGTTTGATATATTATCTTTAAAAAAAATACCTTAAAAAGAGTTGAAGGGCATTTAATTTATTATTTTTGTTTGAATATATTTTTTATTTTAATATGATAAATTGTGGGACATTTTATTCTGAATTAATTATACTACTTTGTGAAAATACCTGCATTTATATGATCTGGAACGTTGCAGAACACATAAATCTGGTTATTTTTACAAATTTATCATATTTAAATATGTGTTTAGGTGGCTAAAACTCAATAACACTTAATTATACTGTTTTCAGGCATAAGCAGCAGTGAAGAAGCTGCATCCAAGACAGAACCAACTGAAGCGACTCCAGCATTAACTGTTGAAACTGCAGCAACCACTTCTGCGACTGCAGAGGAGAGCGACTTGTGCGATAATCTGCGGAAAGAAGAGATAATCAACTGCACATGTGGCTTTACTGAGGAAGACGGACTCATGATACAGGTATAAATGGGTTGGTTGAATAGAAAAAGAAGATTTGTTTGTGACTTTCATCTAGAATTGATTTGTAAAAAGTCTGTAAAACAAAAAATAAAATATACTTATCGATTCTAAGATTCTCACTTCAACATGGGAAAGTTCCACTAATCTGAGGGAGGGTAATATTCATATTCAAAGATAGTTTACCTTGTTATTCCTTTACCATTATTTGTAATATGTAGTCGTGTGATTCAGTGTGACTTGTGCCTGTGCTGGCAACACGGATATTGCAACAATATCAAAGAGGAGGCAGAGGTGCCTGAGAAGTATGTCTGCTACATCTGTCTGCATCCTGCTCGTCAAAGAGAGTCCATGCGCCACTGCCACAACCAGGACTGGCTCAAGGAGGGCAAACTAAGCAGGTATGTCCCATTCCTAACCTTATCATAATCAGTGATACGCGTGTTCCACACTCCCCTGGAAAGTCTTTAGAAATATAACCCACTTTGCCATCTATACTTGATTAGGTACTTGAAAATCCTCAATTGTTTAAGCTGCATAAACACATCTTTCTTTTGGAGTCCCTAGTATTTTCAATCCTTAGAGCATCAGTAAGCTTTAGAATTAGTTTGAACATTTTTATAATTTTTAAAGCATTTTCATTGCTATAAGTTTAAAAACCATTCTTTATTTGGTGCTTTTCTATCCCTTATATCAAGATGAACTCACATTAGTTTTTCTTTTCTTTTGACTATGCCAGTGTCATTTTTATTAGAAGAAACTCAAACCTTTAAAGAAAAAAGCTTTCCTAACACCTAAAATATTTTAGATTTGTCAGATATATAAATTGAAGCGCCGATGTTTGAGACGCTAATATCTTATCTGACGACTTACTCAAATTATCTCTATCGTATTCTGAGAAACCCATATCTTTTAGGCTAAATAATTGCTTCAAGGTATACTCTACCGTTCAAACAAATAGTCAGGGCTCGCCGCTTTAAAACTACTACTTATGAGACTAACCTACCACTTGGGCTGTTGTTTTCAGAAATCGCCCAAAAAACCCACCTCAAACCTCAAACACCTCAAACCCTTGCCATGGTCTGATCAGTGCAAAGCCTGACAGTGTACTGAAACTTTGTTTTAATTGTAGCTTTGAGCAAGAAGAGAATGTCCAATCTTAATTCTCAGTCTATCCAAAGACACCAAATGTCACTAACCAAACTCCTATGTGATGCCTACATGTTGCTGGTTACAGTTTCTCATTCAGCAAGAAAGACTCTGTGGTCAGTGAACAGAGGGAGCAGATGCTGAAGAAGTCTCATGATTTGTCAGCCTCTGTGCTGCAGCTGGAGACTGTCATTCACAGCCTCAATGTCAAGACACACATTGCCACGTGAGTGTTACCGACAGAAGGATTATAGTTAGGAAACATGTTTTTGGTAAAGATGGCTTTAGGCCAGGGGTTTTAAGGATTTTGTTATAGAAAGGTTTAACAACAGGCTTACTATATTTAGCTTATTATATTTGTAGCTACTTGCTCTTTCTTCAGTACCGGTTGTAGAAGTTTTCTGTCAGACTATGGTACTTTAGTAGAAACATAGTGAATAGTATTACACTATAGCAGAAAGACCCTACTAATTAAGAAGGAGCTCACTCTGCCATAAGGAACAGGACTTTACCCCAACTTATTCCTTCTCTGTTTGAAAATTCTGTCAGTAACAGTAAAATATTCCAACTTTTGTGTACAATGTATATTTTGGTTTCCTGTGCTAGAGTGAATACTTTCCTGGTACTTTGGTATTATACCGACCACACCGATAAATTGACTTCCAAATAAGATTTTAATTAGTTTAAATAACAACATTTTCCTAACCTAAAACATAGTCCACCCTTAGATTAGGTTATGTTAAGTTAGGATATAGGTAATTATTAGGTGTGGTCGGTATAATACCTAAGTCCCACTTTCCTATTCAGATAAGCCTGACATATCCTTACAACAATGTCTAATACGTTTTCTTTTATTGTGTAAACTAATATCATATTAAATTATTTAATTTACAACTATTTCATGATGTAAACTTTGTAATTTACAGAATGAAGCAAGATCATCCAAAACTCTACTTGTGGGCTAAAAGCTGGAAAGACAACAGCCCGGATGTTAAAAATGAAAATGAACAAATCAAAACAGGTAGCTTGATTATAAGTTATTAAGAGTTAGCTTAATATTGTTAAATGCATTTTATATCGACTAATGACTAAAATACAGAAGAACGTTGATTATCCGAATTAATTGGGGATTAGGGGTGTTCGGATAACTAATTTTTCGGATGATCGGTCATTTTCTTTTAATGTCAGATATCGTCGCATTTCCAACTCCATATTCCCGAGCTAAACTCGATCCACTGGCACCTCTTTTTAACTGCTCCAATATCTTAAGTTTACCAGAAACACTAAGCACTATGTGTTTACGTTTGGATGACATAGTCAGTGTAGAATGAAACAGTACAATAGAAACCCGTACGAACTGTCACTGTCGACTGAGAATTGAGACGGAGACTGAGTCAGTGGGAGTAGGAGTGGCGCGCACGGCCATAGCGCACGACAATTTTGTCACGTAGGCCCGCCCCGCCTCCCGCCTTAGCAGCCGTGCGGTGGCGTAGTGCTACGGCCAGTCGTGATTGGCGCGCGATTTTATTGATTTTTGCTTCTTTCTTCCTTTCGGTTAACCGACGTTTCGGATGACCGGGCTTCGGATAATCAACGTTCTACTGTATCTGGGTCAATTCAAGATAAGGATGGATAGAGAATTAGGAAAAACCTAGAGTTGAGGGACTGTATATACACAAATCCAGACATTAATGGCAATCATCTGTAGATTTAGGTAGGCAGGACGTGTGGAGAATAAATAAAAACACTATAATCAAAAGGAATAATACTTAGGAACACCATATTGAAAACTACAACTTAGCTGAATGACACAAGAAGGAGATGGAAGGACCAAGGTCAAAAGGACATTAATAGGTTTGATAAGTCACAACCAACTACTTTTGGCTCGTAAACTAGCCCATTGTAGCGACTTAAAAAAATCACTGGAAAATGTTAACATTGCTGGCGTCTTAACACGCTACTGGCTGGCTTTTGAGCAATTTAGATTGTAAACTAGCCAAGCCTGTTATCACGAAAAGTTCCTGAATCTTGATCAACTCTAATTACAGAAAAACTAATCAGGAAAATAAAATAACCCAGAATTCAACGCAAAGTGTCTTGAAAGCAAGGTTGTTTTAGTTCGCAAGGGGTGCCAGCTACTTAGTTAGTAAGCGAGTCATCAGTTTCGTGTATACTTCATAATTAATTAGCCCATTCTAGCCCTGTAGCTTTTAAGCATACTATGAATAATATGTGTAATTTAAACCAACAATGCTGCTTTTCTCTGACAGATGTGGTAGGACCTCAGCCTGAGGCAGCCATTGACACCAAGGAGTGTAGACTAAGGTTGCTGGAGCACATAGAAGACTATCAGACTAAAGTGGAGGATAGACTGACATCTATAGATGCCGCATTATCAGGTAGGCCAACTAGTAAATTGTTATAACTATTGCCCAACTCAATTTTTGTTGGAATCATTATTTTGTGTTTGTTATTGCATGGAATAAATAAAATTGAACACATTATGAAAATTACTTAGTTTTAAAGCTATTTGTGTGAAGGTTAATGATCTAATATAATAGTTGACTCTCAATAATCCGACACTTACTGATCTGGGTAGGTGTGTCGGATTACCAAAAACATCAGATTTCCAAAAAATAATACTAAATTCAACCTGTGAGTTAAGAAAAGCTAACTTATGATACCGCCATGTACTACTCGACTATTGAACCATCAAATTAATATGTTTAGGCATTACTGTATCATCAAGTTGGACCAGCCGTTTCATAAATTTCCATAACACTGCATGAATAGTTCTCACTTCCTAAACGTTTTCCAGTGTTGGAGGCTGAAGATCCGGAACTGTCCAGTGATGTGTCAGATGCTCGGATGAAGCAGACGATGCAACTTTTGTTAAGAGATCTCTCCACACTGAAGGAGGTTGCAGAGTTGAACATGTGAATCACCAAGAATTTACATTAATAGATATTAATTTGTTTGTCGTTTGACCGTTTTTGTAGTGTTTGTAGCAAATGGAGTGAATATGTGGAGTTGAACAGTAGAGAAATGCACTGGTTGTATGTTTTTTAAGGTATGTTTTGTTCTAAACTGTTTCTGGGTAGTATTATTAGGCTTTCAAAAATATGATTCTGGTTTTAAGTTTCATTTCGTTACAGCACATCAGGATGTTAATTTGTTTCCAGTATGATTGTTCTAATGCATTTTATTGAGATTGCTTTGATTAATATTTTACTTTTTTAAATCAGGTTTCTGTTACCACAGTTCAAACATTGGTCCTAGATGTTAAACAAAGACTTTAAACTTCTGAATTGATTATAAATAATTTTTGCTTATAACAGGATTTTAGTTTTTGTGTTTGTATTTGTATAGAGCCAGTAATAGTTCTGCCTCCTCTCAAAAGGGAATATTTATTTAAATATAGGCCTACCAGTTTTTTGTTTGTTTGAGAACTGTTGTTTTAATAGGATTGAAAAAACTACTAGTGTCTTTAATTTAACTCTGAAAACTACTCAGCTAACTGATTAACTGTAAAGTAACACTATCAAAATTGTAGATCTGGAGTAGGTTTGTACAATTATATGTAACTTTATTTTTCTTGTATTTTGTCAAGAAATATTTAATTATTGTTTTTCTTTAAAAGTTTTAAATGTTTGAGAATGTTTAGGAAGTGGGTGAATTGGGAAATTGTAGTTTTGAACAAATGTACATAGTGTAAACCAAAGAGAACTCCTTTCCAAGTTTGACATCACAAAAACTCTGTAATTACCTTTGGCTCACCCTTTGAAACGTAGAGTGATACATGTCAGAATAATATAAAATAAAAAAAATATGTATTTAGTAGATTTTAACAGGAAATATATCAATATGGTGTTAAAGCAGTCACTTAAAACAGGATTGTGATATGTGTTGTAAATTAAAGCCAAGCATAGTTTTCTAAATAATATGTGACATTAAATGTACCAATAAAGCAAAAAAAAAGGTCTGAAACAAATTTTGATATCTTTATTCTTGTACCCATTCATTAATGATGCAAAGGGATACAAACAATAGAGAGCATGCCAGCAATCTTAGGCACAGTAAAAGTCAAGGAATCAAAAGGTTACAAAGTATTTTTACAATGTTTCTTTTAAAGTTATACTTTACTAGCTGAGTACCCGTCCTTCGTATGGGGTTGGCAGTTGGCATATAAGTTTAAAATGCTTATTGCAGTTTTGGGAGATGACACGGTTTAAGAAAATTTGGTTCTTTTAATTTATACGGTATGCTATAGTATATATATAAAATCTATCATCATAGTCATAATGTTCTACGACTGCACCTAAACCATAGAAAAAAGTAAAAGTTCTCATTGTGTAGCACAGCTTTTTGTTGCTACCTAGTTGAAACAGCACAAGTTTTTAATTCCTTTAATTCCTTTTAAATATGAATACTCTTAAGGTTAACTTGGGAAACTTCAGAGCCACTAGGGCGAAGCCCAAAAGGATTTTTGAGATAAGAATATGTCTATATGTTAATTGGGAATGTGAGCTATCATCATACCAAATTTCAAACCTGTCGGTTTAGTATTTTTGGTGTTTACTTGTTACTTGTCACAAATATCCATCCATTCATCCATCCATCCATCCATCCATCCATACATCCAAACTTTCTCACTTATAATATTAGTATGATAACAGATATTTCCTACTAAATGTCAACATTACAGTTTTTCCAGAGTAGATAAAGATTTTCTTTTGACTCTAGGCGGGCTGTCCGTAGTGTATCACCGAATAATGTGTTGAAAAGATTTTTATCTCCAGTGACTTTATTCTAAGTTTTGTAGCTCTATCATTATTTTTTTTATATTTAGCTGTTCCGAGAATTTTAAAGTATTAAAACTATTTAAAAAATGTTCATTTTTAAGCTTTTGTAACTCTGTAAACCTTCACCCTAACAAGATTATGATGAGGACATCCTTGTTTGCAATTCATCATAGGTTATTTTTCAGTATTAATGAAATATTTTGCGCTAAACCATATAGTTTTAAAAATATTTCATAAAAACTCAAACAAACTACAAAGTTTTCAATTCAAACCTCACCTCCCCCCAAAACCCTACACTCAAATGGTGTAAAATACAATATGGGGAATTCACTGAACAATTTGGAGTCAAAAGTTAGCTTTCACTTTGGTGCCAATAAATAAGGTGGCAAAAAGTCCTGGGACAGTAAAACAAAAAAGAATTAGGTAATAGAGCTTACAAACTTGGAATGAAACCTCACACTCACACCCAGGCGAACTAACTTGTGGAAGCGTGCCCACACGAAAACAAGGCAAGGGGCGGCTCACATCCCTACATAAACACAAGGAGAGCCTTGGAGGAAAGTTAAAAAAAGAGACTGCTTGAGAGGCAAAAAAAATGTATTGTATTGAGCAAAAACAACAAATAAACCACAGACACATTTTTAACATATACAACATCTCTCCAGCCACGAGTTTAGCCAGTGCCAAAAAAAGTTTTAGCTCGTATCTTTCCCTTAGTTTACAATAGTTTTTTTTTCAACCCTGAACTTACAATTAAATAAACAAATTACACTAGAAGTAATTAATACAACAAATAATTAACATTTCAATAAATTTAGGGGGCCCCAGTAAACAAAATTTAACATGTCAAATGCAGGTTTTATGTTAGGGTTAATATATTATCACAGTTCTTTTCAGTCTCTTTTTTTGCTATCTACGACAGTTATAATATTTAGAAAAAAGAACTTGCAGAGTGTTGGCGGTTGGTGGTAGTTGATGCTGGGCGGTGCTCTGAGGACATCCAGACACAGAGACGCTCAGGGGTGTGGGGTGTAGGTGTGGAGGGGATAGCACTACCTTAGGTTTGACTGCGCCGACCCAAGATGGCAGCTATCTTCATGGAACAGGCACCTCTCGTATCAGTGACCTGGATCCCTCCCATCAGGGGCTTGGACCTCATCTGACCTCATCAGAGACCTCATCTGACGTAATCGGTTAGCTTAAAACTCCATATTTACAAAGACACTGGAAAAAAAAGTTCCAAAATAAACAAAACCATACTACTACCTTTGACTATCAATCCAATAGTCAATGCTACTACTAAAATCAACATTCTGAAGGAATGACGCAGTCCTTCTGCTCCGAGAGCATATTTCAGCCCGGACTGAGCCCGACGGGTTTCACAAAACCTACCAAACTTCTGGGCAGAGCATCAGATCAACTACATGTGTATATACAAAAATAACATCAGACGTGACATTGCGACATTGTGATGGCTCAGTTCCTGGAAACAATATCATTTTATCAATCATTTTAGCCTCTGGATTGCTTATACAGTATACAGGGTGTTTTTTTAAAAACTTGCATCTTTATTTATGTAAAAACCGCAATAGATAGAAATATGCAGTTTGCGGGGATCATCTATTGACGTAGGGGGCCCAATTGTTTTGAATTCAACGTTACATTCACATTCCCCCCCTTTCCCCCCTGCCCCCAACTTAATTTTTTTAAATAGCAAGGTACCCCTTGTGACATATCAAATAAAAGAGCACAAAAAAGAAAATGTTTGATGAAAAAAAAATTGAAAATCGGTTCATAAATTTGCGAGATATTTCCCCCCCCTCCCCCGGAACTTAATTTTTTTTTAATAGCAAGGTACCCCCTGTGACATATCAAATGAAAGAGCATGAAAAAAGAAAATGTTTGGTGAAATTATTTTTTTATTTGATAAGTCACAAGGGCGGGTACCTTGCTATTAAAAAACAAGTTATGGGTAGGGGAAAGGGGGGGGGGATTATCTCACAAATTTATGAACCGATTTTCAATTTTTTTTCATTAGACATTTTCTTTTTTTGTGCTCTTTTATTTGATATGTCACAAGGGGTACCTTGCTATTTAAAAAATTAAGTTGGGGGCAGGGGGGAAAGGGGGGGGAATGTGAATGTAACGTTGAATTAAAAAAAATTGTGCCACCTACATCAATAGATGATTCTCGCCAACTGCATATTTCTATCTATTACGGTTTTTACATAAATAAAGATGCAAGTTAAAAAAAAACACCCTGTATAATAAATTGATAATGTAAGGTCTTAGCTTAGCAATCCTATTAAAAAATCATTAAAATTTTTTTTCCTAGGACGCTAGGTACGAGCCTGGGATTGTTTTTCACATTACTTCAGGCTAGACCTAGGGTTTGTGGCATTATCACTTTGATCAAATCCATTGGTGATTTAGCGGGAATTGAACCCGGGACCTCTTGGACCAAAGTCCCGCGCTCTAACCACAAGACCAGCTCTCTCCCTCCCCCCAAAAAAATTAAAAATTTCCCTCCTATTAAAAAAACATTTTAACACATTATTCAGTGATACATTACCTCCTCAGGGGAATGGCCTGCTAAGAATCAAAATATAATCTTAAATGTAAGCAGGTTGATATGCTCATCAAATGAAAAGTCATTTTGAGTGGAATACAATGCCGAAAACCATAAAATTGCAGCTGCTCAAAAACGTCTTGAATTTGAAATTTTACCACATTCTTATTTATTGGCAAATTTCTAAATTCAAGATGTCTTTTAAATGCTGTAACTTTTTTCAATTTTAACTTGTGTTTGCAGCTGTTCCTCTGAGGAGGTAGCATACCACTGATTGCTTTAAAATGTTTCTATTCCAAGTAACTTTGTTTCAATTTTCGTAGCTCTACCTTAATTAATTAATTAACAAAATTTTACAATCCAGGACTTTTTGCTTCCATGTATTTTGACAGTGTATTTTTTGTCAGAATTTGAAAACATTTTCTTTGATGTAGAATTAGTTGTGTGAAAACATAAAAGTGAAAGAGAATGACAAGGTCTGCGAGATGTAAACCAATATTTCGGTTGGTTTCCCCGTCCTCTCTCTCCCCCTGTTTGACATCATATCTTCTATTCTGTGACATTTCTTTCAATAAGTCCATCTCTGCCAGTTACCAAGCAGATGTTTGAAACCGATAGCTTTTTGTGAATTGTTCTTTGTACGCTCTAATAAGCTTAGTAAATTTGAAGTATTTGGAAATAAATGATTGAAAAGATAATACTGTATGTTATTTAAAGTTTTTAAAATAAATAAGATGCCTATTTTGTCATAAATTGAAATGAAAAATTAAATTGCCAAGCAGTGTTAAGGTTTAGTTTAACTCACTTGCTTTTTAGCTCCAAAAATTAGAAATAGTTTATTGATGTTGACGATAAGTGTCATCCACTCAGCTCTCAAAATTCAAATTTGTTATAAATTAAGCAGGGTTAGTTTAATAACTTATTAATCTAGTTTTTAAGTAACGTACTAAAAATACTCAAGATTGGTGTTTTAATATTTAGTAGTTCATTAATTTACTGAAGATAAAAAAAACAAGTACAGTAGACTCCCTCTTATCCGGACACCTTTTAACTGGACATTGGCTTAACCTTACCACACTCGGTAGAAGTGACATCCGGATAATTTTTATCAGCACATCGGTTTAACCTGAGTAGACCGGCAGGAATTGGGCGGTACTGAAATGACTGTTCTCGTGGGAAAGATTTGAGACCAGTGATTACGTGTCTAAATACAATGCTCTCCTAATTTTAAGTCAGATGTATAGAGTATGCATTTAAACGGTCCGTTTTAATGAGATTTTGGGACGTCGGTTTAACCGGAAAACCCGTTATCCGGACTGGCCTCGGTCCCGAGGAGTCCGGAAATGAGGGAGTCTACTGTACTCACAAAAATAGCTAATTTAATCTTTTAAAATATAGGTAAATATCTTATATTATATGCTACCACTGTGTTGCAAAAATTTCTTGGATCAATATTAATTATGATAATAATTATTATTATTGTAAACTAATAATTTTATTGTGGCACCTTATTTAAAACAAGTTCCAAAAATGTATGAAACATTGAAATCCAAACTTCCTTATCAAAAGACATGTTTATATAAGTACAGTATTTTTTAAATATTTTCAGGCCTATGAGTTAGTTAATTGAAACAAATCTTACAG